CTCTCGGAGGAAACTGATCAGCTCGTCCTGCATGCTAGGCAATAGTTCCGTGCCGATACCGACGCAACGTTCCGGGTGGGCAGCATCGATGTTGACTTGGGTGATAAGATCGCTCTTCGGCTGCTCGTCGTGATGAACGATCTGTGGGTCAAAGACGCTACTACTACCGATCACGAACGTTGATGCCTTTCGGGCGTGCTTGTTGTCGATGTAACAATGTCGGGACACTGTCTGGTCGCCACGGATGGTGATGACACGGCCCCTGATCGGCATCTTGATGCATTGATGGTAAGGAGAAGTGACGGCTCGCATGGCGTTCAGCCATGGTGTTCCAAGAATAGCATTGTAGATCGCAGGTCGGTCAATAACCTCGAATTTGACCATAATTGATTTTCTGTGTATGGTGACAGGCATTGTTATAGTTCCTATTGTCGAAATCGAGTCTCCAGCGAATCCTGTGAGTGGTGATGGTGCGACTTTGATGTCCCGCTCGGGGATACTCATCTTGCGTAGAGTATCCATGAAGATGAGGTCAACCGAACTTCCAGTGTCGATCAACACTTTGGAGACGTCGTCCTCTCCGAGTCGTAGTGAGATGACGAGTGGATCCTTATGAGGTCGGTCGATGTCACGCGTGTTCTGCTATGTGAATGTGATCGGTAGGTCGTCGTTGAACAGTACTGGTGCGTCCTTCGGGGGATTGGCAGCCTTCTGCTCGTGCCGTTTAATTGAATTTATCGAGTCGATGCACGAGAGGAACCCTCCCATGATCATATTGATCCGCCGATGTGGTGAGCTTGGAGGTGTGTGATCGTCTTCACGGTCACGCTTTGCTTCCTTGCCCTCGCGTTTAGAAGAGCGATCGGTGTTATCTCTTCTATCGCGATCGTCATCGGGTCGCCTGTCCTCATCGTCGGATCGTCGTGAACTCCGGGGTTCTGGAAGGGTGATCTCGCCATCGTCCCACCTTTTCCTCAAGAGGGCTGGGAGGATGCGGCAATCATCGGTATGATGACCGTGCGCCCTATGGTATTTGCACCACGGCTTTTTGCTGTCGGGGTCTTTGTCGCTCGAGCGGTCCCACACGTTCCATGGCTTTTTTGGTCGTCCAACTGCGTTGATGCTCTTGTGATTCTTATCATCCTTGTCGTAGTGCTGACGGGGCTCTTTGTACTCTTCCTGACTCGACGATCTGCCTTTCTTGTCGCGCAAAGATTTCTCATCGGCCAACTTGGCCTTGGCCTTGGCTGCCCGATCCTCCTCGACTCTGATGTACCCGGATGCCTTGTGCAAAGCATCTTCGAGGGTTTTGGTTTTTTCTGTCTTCAATCGTTCACAAAACGATGAATCATCCTTCAAATTCTTGATAAGAATGTTGAAACACAGTTCGTCCGACAGACTGCACTGGGAGACGATTGATCGGAATCGATCGATAAAATCGCGCAGCGGTTCCGTGTCGCCCTGGACGCATGCCCATTGATCGAGCGCTGTGGACTCTGTGTCGATGTAAATCGAATAATGCTTCAGGAACCAAGCTGTGAGCTCCTTGAAGCAGTCGATGGAGTTCTTGGGAAGCTGTGAGAACCAGGTGAGGGCGCTCCCGGAGAGCGTCTCCACGAAGTACTGACAGAGGCATGCTTCCCGCTCCTCATCGGTGAAGCGAGCACATCCCATGACTGCGTTGAATGCGGTCAGATGTCGCTTCGGGTCTGTCGTGCCGGAGTAACTCGGAGGCAGCTTCATCCGACCTATGTCCTTAAGAGGAGCATTGGTGACAGCCGACGTGAACGAGGTTTGCTGCGTCTCCTGAAGGATCTTATCCAACTCGGGAGCTGAAGTCGTCACCTTGTGGATCTTGCTGTGGATATCATCAAGGCGTTGGTGGAGAAGATCGAGTTCCGAGGTTGTCGTCGGGTCGGTTCCGGCGATATTTCGAGATGAGCAAGCATGCGAGCCTTCTGCTTGTGCTCTCCGTAAGTCGTCCGTTGGTGTCGTGCCAAACAGGTTGTTGACCAGCCTGGTCGTATCTGTGTTACGGATCGAAGGGCGAGGGGGGGGTGATAAGATCGGCCTGCTCTTGGGTATGAACCCTAGAGTTTATAAGTCGATCCAAGTCTTCTCTGTAAGCTATCTGCTCGGCTCGGAGGGAATCGAAGCGAGCGTCTATCCCCTGTTGCAACTGTGCTGCCACCGACCTGATGATCGTGGCCATGTCGATGGGAGGTGGCTGTGGCAGGCTGGTCGTGTTTGTGCCACCTGTCTGACCGACCTGGTCTGTTCCCGCGGTGTTCTGTGCGTTAGTTGTGTTGTCTTCCTGATCGGTCTGGTGGGCCACCGGATCTTGAATTTTGATGATCGGATCTTGAATTTTGAATTATGAAATTTGTGAAATCATATTTTTATAAAAGCAAGTGTGTATTATAAAATTTGGTATACACATGTGTTCATTAAAAATAACGCATCTTTTTAAGATTTTTTAGATAACTTTGTCAAACAAACTGTAATATTTTTACGAAAAACTAAAACTGTAAAGATTTATGTTTGTTTTTACTTCTTATTTATATTTGTTTTATCTTATTATCATTTATTCTTTCATTCGATTATTTTTATTTTATTTATGATCTTAAATTTTCGATATACAATGAAAATGCGTATATACATATGAATATGATATAAACTTTTCTTTTTATGTAAAATATGATAAGAGAGAAGATGAGATGGTAACAAAACTATGTAAATTAAAAAAAAACAGCAGTATAAAAAGTGTTAAAATTATATACAAATATATGGTCATATTAATACTATAAAATAGTAATAATTAGTATATATTTTATTCATTTGCCATAATAAGTAATAGTTGGAACAAACAAATTATATTAAATTATGTTACTTTTTAAACTTTCAATAAAAGTTAATTATTATTTTATTATTTTTAAATCTTTTTATTCATTAAATTATTATATCATGATTCTATTTTATTTTAAATTCTACTATTTAATAATGTATCTAATTTAAACTTTTTTAGATGTTATTATTATAAATTTTCATAAATTAATAACTTTCCAAAATAAGAATATATCATACTTTAAACATTATTAATATATATAATATTTACTATCTGATTGGATAATCTAATATTATATATTTTTTCTTTTAATATGAAATTATAATATATAAATATGTATATGTATTGTAAATTTTTTGTACTAATACTTTATCTAATTATGAATATATGTAAAAAAATTAATCATAATAATTATCTTTTTTGTTACTTTAAAATTATTTATAATCTAGTGTAGTTATGTTTAATTTCAAGTTTTTTTAATTTTAATTCAGCCAATCAAAATATTTCGTTTATTTTAGGAAATTTGACATGTCACATTTACATGTCATCAATACAATACACTAACTTTGATTATGAGTATGACACATCAGCAATTTTTACTAATTCTATTTCTCAAATAATGTGTAAGAGATACGGATTGAGTTGTTCCTTCTCCTTTTTTGGACTAGTACTTGGAAGTGTCTACATGGAAAAAGTGTAAACTTCTCAATGATATATATCAATAGCAATAGCTTTTCAAAAAATAATTTAACGCCACAACAATGGACATCTCTTATAAAAATGACAGGCTTATTTAACACACCGTTGAACAACAACATACATATCTGTTCAAGTAGAACCGTGGTCTAGATCTTTCACATTCTTTTCCAAATGTATAATTTCTCTATAAACAATCATTTTATTCTGTATTGAAAATGAAAACAAAGATAATAAATAGATTTTCCTTATATGATTTTATTGAGCAAAAAAAGAAAAGAGAACAAAGATATCACTAAATTTATTGGAAAATATATAATTGAACATAGATTTGAGTTCTAATAAAACAACGGAAATACTCAATTCAACTTCTGTGATGCGATGCGTCTTTCTGATTATAGAAAGAAGTATTTATTACATAATTTTATATTGTAGGCCGTCGTGCGTACCACACACATGGGTTTCAAAATCTGCAAAATCTACAAAATTGAACGAGAAACGTCGGTGGAAACGATCTTAATTGTTCTAATCACACATTCTAAAATTCCCAGATATAAATGTTCCAACCTAACAATTTTTTTGGTTATTAAACTTTGTGTTTTTTTTCCCCCGAAACTAATAATTTGGGCAGATGCAAAAAATGGTTAATGACATTTTACATAAGAAACGAAAAATAAAGAAACATGAGTCCAAAATGCAAGAAAAAGGAGTGGTCTCATAGAGAAATGACACCTACACAAGTCGTTAAACCGTGAGGTCCACCGTTTCTCCACATGTCGTCATCACACAGCGAGTTTAAATAAATAACCAAAAACCCTCCTTACTCGCGATCCTGACGAAGCATTTAATTTTGAGTCTCTTCCTCATCTGCAATATTATTATTGTACACAAAACAAATTACTCGTTTTCCTCTCTCTCTCTCCTCCTCATCGCTTTGCTCTCACAGGAAGCAAATAACGATCCTCTCTCTCTCTCTCTCTCTTTCACTTGACCCAACTTCTCTCTCTTCTCTTCCGTATCGTCTTCTTCTTCACATTGGTATCGATTCTCGTGTTTTCGTCGTCTTCTGCACATTCACATTGCGGTTTAATCTCTCCTTACCTATATTTTCTAGGAGAAAGAAAACATTATTCATCGATACATATACACAGAGAACTTTGGATTGTTGTAAGCAGAATCTCATTTACCCAGACATTATACGCTGATTTCGATACATTTGGTTTGTTTTTTTTAAATTCCTCCTAGATTTCTGGATTTTGCGTAATGGGAACTGTTCGATTTATCCAGCTGAATCTCGTTGTAATGTTTTTGATAGCTGATTTTGCTATTTTAAGTATGAATCTTCGAATCAGCACAACAGTTTTTGTTTGTTTTTTCCTCCTTCGCCCCCTTAGATTCTTCCCTTTTAATCCCAAACTTTCGATTCCTGAAGCTTACAGTGATCCTTGTATATGCAGATTCGAACAAGAGGTTTCTACACATTGGCGTGATTCTGAAGAGATTTTTCCAGATTTTCTTCCCCTTGTTACTGGGGAGATGTCTGGTTTCGTGGGGGTTATCGTTTCGGATCCATGGCTACAAAGCCAGCTCACACAAGTCGAACTTCGTAGTCTTAATTCAAAGGCAAGTCCTCTCTCTCTTTCTCTCTCTCTTCTCATTGTTTCTTCTCTAGATGCAATCTCAAGCGAAAGCTCGTTTTTGATCTTTGGATTTTGTGTTTAGTTTCTGTCGTTGAAGAATCAAAACGGTAAGATTACGTTAGAGGATCTTCCGCCTGTGTTGGTCAAGGTGAAGTCGCTAAGCTCTACATTCAAGGAGAAGGAAGTCAGAGAAATCTTGGGAGATTTGGGCTCTGATCATGCAAGCGATGATTTTGATTTCGAATCGTTTCTCAGGGTCAGTTTGATCTTTCTGTGTTGTGTTTGTGAATCTCTTCTATGGAATGTGGTGTGTAGTGTGGTTTTAGGATTGATACAGAAAAAAAAAAAAAATTGTATGCAGATATATCTAATCCTGCGAGATAAAGCTGCTGATAAATCTGGTGGTCTTAAGCACTCGTCTTCATTTCTTAAAGCCAGCACGACGACTCTTCATACCATAAACCAGTCAGAGAAGGGTTCTTTTGTTCATCACATCAACAGATATCTTGGGGATGACCCGTTTTTGATGCAGTTTCTTCCTTTAGACCCTGATTCCAATGATTTGTATGAACTTGTGAAAGACGGTGTGCTTCTATGGTAATGTTCAAATTTATTGTTTGGATTTCATCTTGACATTAGTAGATTTGGTTTCTGGGGTTTTTGACTTGATTCTCTCTTTTTTTACCTTTTTGGTACAGTAAGTTTATAAATGTAGCAGTGCCTGGGACAATAGATGAGCGAGCGATCAACACGAAAAGGGTACTTAACCCATGGGAGAGAAATGAGAATCACACGCTCTGTCTCAACTCTGCAAAAGCTGTTGGCTGCAGTGTGGTTAATATTGGGACTCAAGACCTGGCTGAAGGACGAGTATGCTTTGCTTTCTTGGTTTTTAGTAGAACATATATGCGTATTGGTTGAGACAAATATAGATGATTCTGACCATGAAAGGTTTTTATTGTTTTTGCAGCCTCATCTCGTGCTTGGACTGATCTCACAACTCATAAAGGTCGACTCTTGTTTGCTATGTGCATCATCCTTTGTGTTTTTGCTTGATGATTTACTAACTCATGTTGGAATCTGCAGATTCAACTGCTCGCTGATCTTAATTTGAAGAAGATGCCTCAGCTAGTTGAGTTGGTTGAGGACAGCGACGTAATGATCAAGCATATCTCTTTGCAAATTTCTGACCAAAGTATATGATAATTATTATTGCAACTAATAATAATGTGTTTCCGTCTGTTGCAGGATATAGAAGAACTGTTGAGATTACCTCCCGAGAAAGTCCTACTAAAATGGCTGAATTTCCATCTCAAGAAAGGTGGTTATAAGAAAACTGTTGGGAATTTTTCTTCGGATCTGAAGGTATTTGGCTTTCCAAGTAGCAATTCTGGAATCTACACTCCTTTTTTCCCCTTCAGAAAGCTTCATTCAAGAAATTTACAGATTCACCAAGTGTTTGTTAACTCATAGTTCTCTCCAACACGCTGAAGCAATATCAGTTTGAATAGGAAAGACAAAAGCTCACGAATAAGTTATGAAAATATTTGGTACTTTTCCTTAAACTTAATTGTTGATTGAATATCCAGGATGCACAAGCCTACGCTTACCTTCTAAATGTTCTTGCACCCGAGCACTGCGATCCAGCTACTCTAAACGCCAAGGATGATCTTGAAAGGGCAAACATGGTCCTTGAACACGCAGAGAGAATGAACTGCAAACGGTACTTGACTGCAGAAGAGATAGTTGAGGGGTCTTCGTATTTGAATCTCGCATTTGTGGCACAGATATTTCACGAAAGGTCTGTCAAAGGTCATACAAGATGGTAGACTTGTTCCAAGCGCACCGGTTTTTATACTAGCTTCCCTGTACCTGCTGCAGGAATGGCCTTAGCACTGACGGGAAATTCTCCTTTGCGGAGATGATGACTGAGGATATACAGACTTGCAGAGATGAAAGATGCTACCGGCTATGGATTAACAGCCTCGGGATTGACAGTTATGTCAACAATGTGTTTGAAGATGTTAGAAACGGGTAAGCTTTCTGTGAGGACAGAGTGACGTTTTAGTTTGGGAATTACTCGAAAAGCTTTTCGTCCTGAAGTTTATATACTTGTGCAGATGGATTCTTCTTGAAGTTGTTGACAAGGTCTTTCCCGGCTCAGTTAACTGGAAGCATGCTTCAAAACCACCGATTAAGATGCCTTTTAGAAAAGTGGAGAATTGCAATCAAGTTGTGAAGATCGGGAAAGAGATGAGGTTCTCGCTCGTAAATGTAGCTGGAAATGACATAGTTCAAGGGAATAAGAAGCTTATCCTCGGTAATTACTCTGCATAGCTAGATACAATATATATCTCTTTTTCTTTCGAGAAGATGCTCTGTAGCCTTAGAAATTTTATAACAGCGTAGGTGTATGTCTATACACACACACATGTCTCAGGCTTCTTATGGCAGTTGATGAGAACCCATATGCTCCAACTTCTCAAGAACCTAAGATCTCGGACGCGAGGAAAAGACATGACTGATACAGAAATCCTGAGCTGGGCAAACAGGAAAGTCAGAATCATGGGACGGAAATCACAGATTGAAAGCTTCAAGGTTCCATCTTCTTACATTAGTCAGCTTTAGTCAGAACCAAAAAAATCCACTGAACATGCTTTATGCTGTAACAAATCTCTCTTGCTACACTTCAATAGGACAAGAGTCTATCAAGCGGATTATTCTTCCTTGATCTTCTATGGGCGGTTGAGCCAAGAGTTGTTAACTGGAATCTTGTCACCAAGGGTGAATCAGGTCCATTACTCTCTCTAACTAGACGTTACATCTTCACTATCTCTCTCTCTCCTCTCTGTTTCAACCGCAATTCGCTTTTTGGCAATGGAAACTTTTACAGACGATGAGAAGAGACTGAATGCTACATACATCGTCAGTGTAGCAAGAAAGCTCGGTTGCTCGGTTTTCTTGTTACCCGAAGATATCGTGGAGGTAAGAAACATAATCTAAATCTTATGGAAACATCATGTAAATCTGAGGTTTAATTTGTGGGGATTCGATGTTGCAATGCAGGTGAATCAAAAGATGATACTAATCTTAACGGCAAGTATAATGTATTGGAGCCTTCAGCAACACTCATCATCGTCCGAGAGTTCAAGTTCTTGTTCGGATTCTTCATCTACTCATAGCACAACCACGACGTGCACGAGCACTGATGCTTCACCAGCTCCATCTGTCACCGGAGAAGACGAAGTCTCTTCTTTAAACGGCGAAGTCTCGAGCCTAGCCATTGAAGAAGACAATGACGCAGACATTTTGTCTGATATCACCTCCATCTCGGAGGAAGCAGCCATTGAATAGAGAGGGCGACAAGACTGAAATATTTTGCCGGAACAGAGTTGCTTTGTAATAATTTCACATCTTCTCTGTCTGTGTGTTAATAATAAAAAGTTATACTTATCTGTTATCAACTACTAGGTGATTACCAGCGCAAATGCCCGGGTTGTTTCTATATAATTTTTCAAAAAATTGTGTTTGATATTCATAATAAATACAAACTAAAAATAAAAATAAAAATCTTAAAACAGAAACATAGATAATATAATAATGATTGATTTCTTAGAATGATTTGCATTTCTTGATCATTCTTTGTTCCATGTGCTTTAGATATAAATGAAACATAACAATTGTTTTTAGGGAATGTGCCATTTGGACGGAAAACAGACGCACCCGAGTTCTAGTGGTTGCAAACAAGACAAGAAGACCACGGAAACCATTTATGTTGTTTACAGCAAGATGAATATATTCAAGGTTAGTTACAAATTTCTCAATGCATGCATCTTTTTTTTTTTTATCAATAGGAAGGTGTTTTCATTTGTCATTAAATCATTTATGTTGTTTACAGCAAGATGAATAGATTTAAGGTTAGTTACAAATTTCTCAACTAATCAAATTTCACATAAGTTTTACTTTTGATATCTTTCAATTAATATTTCAAGAGACCACTTAAAGACATGGTTAGAAATCAGCAACAAACTTCAAAATTAAATTTCAAGAGCATGATTTGATAACCATTAAAAGGATATATGCGTCACACCTTATGATTTTGGTAATTTCATGCTAGGTTTCAAGAGCATTCTAATGCAAGTTTATATACTAAAATTAATATATTATTGCAAGAGAAACAAAACTATAACCAAAAATTATGAAAGAATTGAGAGAGAAATGTAGTGTTGTTGATCACCATAGCAACCTTCAAATGAGGTAAGTCGTAGATTTGTCAAAGTTTTATTATATAAAAGATAAGTTATGATTATGATAACAATATGCTGTTCGAGAAAGCTAGAATGACAACGTATATCAAAAGAGTTTTCTCTGTGAGGACAATTTGTAAATATGATGGAATAATTTCTGCAAGATGATAGTTTAGAGACAATTTTACCGAAAGCTCAGATAATATTTATATATGTATATAGTTAACAACTTTAAAATTATGTCATCATTATATATAAAATAGAATGCTATATTAATCATAACTCTTAACATATATAATATAATGTAAAACATCACCTAGTTACTTTGATTCCACACAAAAACAACTGAAAAGTAGTTTGCATTTAATTTTACCACACAACACTATCCAAGCAGTAGAAGAACAAGAGCTTCGTAGTCTTACTCCTGGGAGGGAGAGAGAGCTTTCTTATTCATAGCCCTGATCTCCTCCTCAGCCATCTCAACACAATGAGCGGTTTATGTCGCCTCTTCGTCTTCTTCGTTTGCAACCTTAACAGCGACACTGAAGATTTCTCCACATGAATTGAAGTGATTAGTGAGCGCCTTCTTGATATCATCCTTAGGAAGCGAAGTGTGAGGCTTCAGCATCAAAGAGAGATTATTAAAAGATAATTTTTGTTTTCTTTAAGAAAAAAAAAGAGATATTTTAGAATACCTCCAATGGTCATCGAAACTTACTTTGTTTTGTTGTTGCTGTTGGTGATGTTTAAATCTTTGTTTCTCTCTCTCTTGTGCCTTGCTCGAACTTCGAACCCGTCTCGTGTTGCACGTTTAAGTGCCTTCACAGACCAGACGAGCTACAAGAGCAGGGCGCTCGAAGTAGTTTTGCACTAGTTTTATTTGTAACTTTTCACTTTTTAGTTTTCACATCGAATTATTTTGAAAAAATATCCCAATTTTAAATGGAAAATTATCTCATTCCGGCTGACACTCAAACAGCCCCACAAAGGACAGACACTTCTCAGCGCGTGCGCACACGTGCGAGAATATATTAAACCGAAAATAAATTTTGTCGTCTGTTTTGTTCGCATTGTGACGGTACTTGCTCGCTTCTGATTTCGATTCCTCAGAGCAGAGACAGAGAGGAGAATTCTCAAAGGTTTCGCTTCTCTTCTTCTTCTTCTTCTTATTTAGTTCTTCGATTCCTCTGTCACAATTTCTCCTTTTTTTGGTGTACGAATCTTTTGGGACTTTGTTTTTTTTTTTTTTTTTTAATTTTCCAAAAACTTTCCTGGGTTTTCGTCTTCTGTATTATTATACTCCTCCTCCTTGGGTTTTTGGGATTCTGTCTCCAAGTTATGTTTCTTGATCTCCTGAGACGAGCCCTAAATTGGATTTTCGAATTTCGGATTTGCTTTAGGGTTTAGGAGAAAGGTGTAATTTTGGAATTTTCCCATTTACGTTTTTCCGGTTCAACATTGATTCTACTCTAGCCGTTTATATTTGGAGAATAAATCTCAGGCTGATTGTGATTGGGATGTTTGTGTATTTGTTCCCCTGCTTTGAAACGTCTCTAGGGTCTAAGGAATTTGGAATTGATGGCGTTCGTTGACGACGACGAAGAGGAAGACTCGGTTCCTCTATCAGCATCGGGTTATTATTTTGAAGATGACGATAAGGTTCCTGTGTCGTTCGCGCGGCTGCCAATTCAATGGAGCGAGAAGGAGAAAGTGGATGGCAATGCGGCCGGTTTGTACTTGCGAGGCACATCTGATAATGGCCTTATGCCTCTGCATAGGCGTGTTAAGGCTTGGAGATTCGACCTTTCCAACTTCAGTCCAGAGATCTCTGTTCTTACGAAGGACAACGTCTGGATCAAGCTTGAGAAGCCGAGGAAAAGCTATGTGGACTTGATAAGAACTGCTCTCGTAACTGTGCGGTCCCTTCATTTTCTTCGAAGGAATCCCCAAGCTTCGGATAAATCTCTCTTGGAGCATTTATCTAAGAGTTTCAAGTAACTTGACTCTTTTCAACTCTTTTGTTGTTCTCTCTGGTTATTGCCATTCTTTTGGGTTTTTAACAACTGTGCTTGGATGTTTGTTTGTAGGGCATTTGAAGTGAAGCCGTCACAGAATGATTTGGTGGATCACTTTGATTTAATCGGTGAAGCTGTCAAGAGAGGTGGAAAATTGGCGAAATCGAAGGTTAGTAGTATGATAGTTTTGCTGACTTTTCTGGTCTGTGAGGTGTTTGATTTAGACGAGACCATCAAATCTCGTATAGGTGTTGTAGTTTCTGTTTGTGATGCACATATTTGTCACCAAGAGTTTTAGTTCGCTTTCTGGCATGAACGTTTTCTGTAGATGCATCATTTTCTTAACTCTTACCCTGATTCTCTCCTAATTTTGTGGAGTTTTTGTCTTTCTTGTGTGGCTAGTTTTTACTTGCATTTCTCGCAAAGAAGCCTACCAAAAAGAGATTACCTGATGAGGTTTGACTTTTTTTGTTTTTCCCCACTCGAGTACTCTCTTTCCTCATGTGCTTTGTTCCTTCTTTCAGACGGTCTTAATTTCTGTTAAGAATTTGCTATTATTTACTAGGAACACCCAAAGGATGATTTCATAGTTGAAGATGACTCAACCGTGGCTTCAGATGAAGATGCATTGGATGATGATGACGACGACGATGATATGTTTGAGTCTGTTTGTGCATTTTGTGACAATGGTGGCGAACTTTTGTGGTATGTTTCCTTGATGGGTATTGATCTTGTAGTTTGATTTTCGCAGGGAGTTCTTTCCTTGTTATGTGTTGTCATTTCACTGAAGCAGAAGCATGAGTCTCTTGTTCTGCTTTGTGCAGTTGTGAAGGAAGCTGCCTGAGATCATTCCATGCTACCAAAGAAGATGGTGAAGATTCACAGTGTAAAACTCTTGGCTTAACCAAGATGCAAGTGGAAGTATGTCATATATAATATTTTCGTAGTAGTTCTGAATATTACCGAGCACCTTGGTTTTCTTGTCCAATCATCTAACCTATTTTGGATGGTTATCCTTTTAAACTTTTTCCTGCCTTGAGTAGGCATGGAGTTGATGCTATTGTTTTTTCTATGGATCGTTTTCCAGGCAACTCCGAAATACTTTTGCCCAAACTGTGAGCATAAGATTCATAGTTGTTTTATTTGCAAGAAACTTGGCTCCTCTGATAACTCTACTGGGGCTGCAGAGGTATGCAATTATTGATTTCTAATGTTGAACGCTGCTCAGACGAGGTTTGTTGATAATGGTGACTGCCAACTAATTAGTTGAGCTTTGCATTTGATTTTTATAATATTCGCAGGTTTTCCAATGCGTGTCAGCCACCTGCGGCTACTTTTACCATCCTTCTTGTGTCACAAAACGACTACGCGTAGGAAATAAAGAAGAGGCTGACGCAATAGAGACGCAAATCATTGCAGGAGAGTTTACATGCCCATTGCACAAATGCAGTGTCTGTAAAAAAGGAGAGGTTAAGACTGACCCTAAGTTGCAGTTTGCTGTATGCCGGCGTTGTCCAAAGTCCTACCACAGAAAGTGCCTGCCCCGGTATACCTTCCATCTATTAGTCATTCATTTGCTATTGCTACTCTAGAATTCTATTTGAATGACTCTCTTGTTGGTTTCTAGGGCAATTTCTTTTGAAGATATTGAGGAGGACGATATAATTACAAGGGCATGGGACGGACTCTTGAACAACCGTGTACTCATATATTGCGAGTAAGCTTTGTATATGATGTATCTTATGTGGAAAAATTTAAATTTAAACTTACCTTGAGACACTTACTTCCAATGATTTCTCTTGGATAGACAACATGAGATCGATGAAGAGCTCAAGACACCGCGCAGGGACCATGTTAAGTTTCCTTATACCGAGGAGGAGAAGGTTTTCACGTCAGAGAAAAGAAAGATACCGGAATCACATGTGGGAAGAGACAAAGCGAGACCTAATTTGAAGAATCTTGCCTCGCGAGACACTTGTGGAAAAGCTTCTGAAAAATCACATAGAAGTTCGTTTACTTCTTCAAAAGATGGTGTCTCGACAAAGAAGCATGGAGTAGTTTCGTCTGTACCAGATCATTTGAGGAAACGAAAGGAAGTTGATCCATCCAGAAGGTCTAACTTGGCGCCAAACAAATCCCAGAAAATGATGGAATATGGAGAGCCCCGTGAAGCTGGCAAGAAGAAAGTGGAAGTGAATGAACCACGTGAAGCTGTAAAAAACAAGGTGGGAGTGAAAGAGGCACCCAAATCTGATAAAAGCAAGGTTTCTATTTCTTCCAAGGAGCCAGTAAGTGAAATTCCCACATTAGACAATGACTCTCAAAGGAGGTTAGTATTTTTGCTGTTTGTTGTCTGTGATTTCAGTTTCATTTTCTCCTCTTATTTTATCTACTTTTTCCAATGTAGACTCTTGGCGATAATGAAAGAATCTACGGAAGAAATAACCATGGATGATATATTAAAGAAATACAAAGGTCCATCTACGTATAAAAGCTCCACAATGAATGCTGTGAGCAAGACGATTACTATGGGGAAGATAGCGGGCTCAGTTCAGGTGGGATAGAAATCTGAACCCGATGCCTATCTAGCTACTCTTAGCACTTTATTAATGACTCTTCAAAATTTGTTTCTACAGGCTGTCCAAACAGCACTAAAAAGGCTTGAGGAAGGAGGAAGCATTGAGGATGCAATAGCAGTTTGTGGGCCAGAGGTTCTGAGCCAAATCTACAAGTGGAAGGTCCTACGCACAGCATTTTAGACATGGCAGCACCTCTCTGTTTTAAATCCTTTCCTACTGTTTATGCAGTTGAAGAAAAGATATTTCTACATCGTTTTCTAATCTCTGCTTGCAACTAGGATTTTTATGTTAATCATGTCTGTTGCTTTTGCTTCAGGATAAGCTCAAAGTTTATCTTGCTCCTTTTATCCACGGTGCACGCTATTCCTCCTTTGGTCGTCATTTTACTAAACCCGACAAACTTCAACAGGTAATCAATTCTTTCAAAAGCATAACTTATCTTACATCCTGCAAGGATTGTTGGTTCACACTTAGAAGTTGAAGTCGACAACTGAAAGAATAATTGTCGAGAACTGTTTTGTTAAATGTCGGCTGTTTATGTCTTTTTAATCAACGATTACTGAATCTGTCTTCTGTGAGGATTGTTGTGCCGTTAGTTTATACTTCTTATACTAGTGAGAGAAAATGGTTTATGTTCTGTTACATTCGAAACTATATGAAACTTGATGTCTGATCGGATTTTATTATTACTTTGTCATGCAGATTGTAGATAGGCTCCATTGGTATGCAGAAGATAGTGATATGGTGAGATTTTCTCACGAACGTTTTTTGTTATGGTTTAGTTTTATTATTTTGTTTACTTCTTTTAATATTTTGTTCTGAAGTATGATCTTGTTTATATAATGATCCTTTTCCTGTGCATAAACAATGATGCCTGTTTTCTGGTATCTTATCCCACAGATTGTCGACTTTTGTTGTGGCGCTAATGACTTTAGCTGTCTGATGAAAACTAAGCTTGAAGAAACGGGCAAGAAGTGTTTATATAAGAATTACGATCTTTTTCAAGCGAAGGTAATGACTTGTGCACCTGCTATCGTTGTGAGTTGTTACTAGTCTTCTAGGATGACTCATTGAATTGTTTCTTCTACTTTTAGAATGATTTCAATTTTGAGAAAAGAGATTGGATGACTGTAAGGAAAGAGGAGTTGCCACCAGGTGAAAGGCTGGTAAGATAAGAGATTGGCTGATGACTCTATGCTCCTGTTTCCTCGAAATAGTTGGAGTAGTATCTGATTATTTATGTATTTGGCATTATGAGTAGATAATGGGGCTAAATCCGCCATTTGGATTCAATGCTTCTCTTGCAAACACGTTTGTTGACAAGGCTCTTGAGTTTCGCCCAAAGATTCTCATCCTCATTGTTCCTCCAGAGACTGAAAGGTTTTAGTTTCCATCTATCTCATCTGCTCCTTTTTACTAGCCAGAACACTAAAATAACGTCGCCCTGGCTCACACTCTCGTTAAATCTGCCACTTTTCTGAACAGGTTAGATAAAAAGAAGTCATCTTATGTGCTTATATGGGAGGATGATGCGGTCGTATCTGGAAAGGTAAATTCTTCGCGATTCCCCCTCCCCTTTGTTCTTGTTTTCTGACAAGTTGAGCCTTTCTTAAGTTCCAGTTAAAAGTTGTTTCTTGTTGTGTATTCCCTTCAGTCATTTTACCTGCCTGGATCTATCAATGGCGACGACAGCTGGAATTTAGTTTCACCGCCCCTTTCTCTCTGGAGTCGGTCCGATTTTGCAGCCAAGCACAAGGATATAGCGGAAAGGCATAACCATTTGACTAGCGTTGTGGAGAACTCAAATTTTGTAGAAGAAGCAGACGCATCTATGCATCCACTTGGAGCTTCTGATAGGATATGTGATGATACTCCTACGAGGAGAGATAATAGTCCATTTGAAAACGGTGAGAATTCCAGATTGGAAAACGAAGATGTTCCTATGGAAATAGATGAACTTGAGGTAGCTGATTGTGTCAATAACATTCTGCGCTCTGAGAAAATCGAAGCACGGGGAACTGTAAACCATCATCAGTTAGATCACTCGTCAAGGAGAAGTCAGCTGGAAAAGGAGAAGAAGACCAAAGACTACTCTGGTAGGATGCTTGGGAAGTCGGTGGATTGGAAGAACAAGGACATGGATGAGGACCGAGGAGAGTTAAATATAAGACCGGAGAGCAGCGAAGTAAATATCCCCGAGACGACGCTATCTGATAGGCAGAGTCCTGTGAGGTCTTCTTCAGATGACATATTTGCTGTCTGCACATCAATCTCCAATACGACACCGCAAAGATCTGATGAGCTTGTGGAAGCATATCTGCCTGCAATAACAAGGAAAAAAAGTAACGTGGGAAAGGATACTAGAGAACACGTGCCGGACATTGGAAAACCTGAAGAGATGCGAAATCGGCCCACGAGCTCTGTAAGACCCTCTAGAGAAGACGTCTACACTGTTCGTGCATCACCAGCAAACACGGGTCAGAAACCATACGAAGCTTTTGAACAATCTTATGGTGCAACTGCATCCCATTTCAACGACGGTCTTGCTGCTAAGTATTGTATTGGTATCGGTGGAGGCTACAAAATGTCAGATCCTCTTCTAATACCGGATCAGTTTCCGTTGGCGTCATCTCTGAGGAATGGTTCTAACGAGATGTTTGATTACCGAGGATACTCCGACCTCAACAGAGGGGTTAGTCCAAGAGAGTATTCGCAGCAGTACGGTGGACACATGGACCCAATGTTAGCACCTCTTCCTCCAAATCTGGTTGACAATGCATTCCCGTTGCAACAACGTTATGCGTCTCATTTTGATGAAATGAATTACCAGAGGATAAGCTCTTTCCCATCTCAGACTCCGATGCAACAACCTAGTGGAAGCAGTATCTATGATCCTTCTAGGCCTGGCTTTCCGTCGCAACCGCCACCATCTGGAGACTCTGGGATGACGCCAATGGGTTTTGCCCCTGGCCCGAACTACCCTTATATTAATAGATCTGGCGGTTGGCTTAACGACTAGACCAGCTCTCATTTTCCTTGTATTTTCAACATTAGTACTAGTTTGGTTGGTCTTTTATCTCATTCTCTATAGTTGTAGGAAGACTAGAAGAAATCTAAAAGTTTTTCTCTACCACAAATATATGTCGACTGAGTGGGCCTTTTGATTATGTTTAATAATTATGAAAAAAAAGCCAGCTTGTTGTCTTTAAACTTTATGTCACAATACTAGACCACGTCAAGATTAGGTGGTTGCACATAATTAGCAAAGTAAAGATCTGAGAAATGGAAGAGGAGTTGAGAAACTTAATTAAGGTATGGATCTCTGCCTTAATCTCCATCAGTTATTGTTACTACATCTCATCTAGAATCTCCAAAGGTGTTCTTCGTCTTCTTTTTATTCTTCCCGTATGTATTCTGTTTCTTGTTCTTCCTCTGTTCCTCTCTTCTGCCCACTTTTGCGGCGTTTCAGCTCTTTTTTTCTCGTGGCTAGCAAACTTCAAGCTTCTTCTCTTTGCTTTTGATCAAGGACCTTTGTGTCCACTTCCCTCAAATCTCTACCGTTTCATCTGCTTAGCTTGTTTCCCCATCAAAATCAGACAAAACCCTTCTCCAAATGCGATCACAAATCTTCATCGCAAAAATGAGCCTATGCCTAAATGGGTTTTTGCTGTTAAAGTTTTGGTGTATTGCGTCTTGTTACATTCTTATGAATACAGCGACGCTTGGCCTCGGTTCGTTGTCTTGGCCATCTATTGTCTCCATATATACCTCGAGGTCGAACTTGTCTTGGTGCTTGTCGGTGCCGTGGTATCTACTCTTCTCGGCTGTGACATCGAGCCAGTGTTCAATGAGCCTTACCTAGCCACCTCTCTACAGGACTTCTGGAGCCGCAGATGGAACCTCATGGTTTCAGCTGTCCTACGCTCAGCCGTCCACATACCGGTTCAGCGTTTTTCCACACGCTTTCTCGGTCCAAACACATCTGTGTTAGTCGGGGTCATGGCCTCGTTCCTTGTCTCCGGTTTGATGCACGAGCTGATCTACTTTTACGCGATCCGTCTTCCTCCAACTTGGGAGGTGACTTGTTTCTTCGTGTTGCACGGTGTTGCCACCGCCACAGAGATAGCGGTGAAGAGAACACTGCGGTTGAGACCACCGCACCGGGCTGTCTCGCGTCTTGCGGTTCTGGCGTTTGTGAGCGTGACGGGCGTTTGGCTGTTCCTCCCTCAACTGCTGAGAAATAATGTTCATGAGAGAGCGATTGGTGAATGTTTATTGGTTATTGACTTTGCCAAACGCAAATTGTTCATTTCTTCTTAATGATTCTCTTTTTATATATACAAATATATTACGGCTAATAGCAAAGCAACCAAACTTAGTTATCTTCAATGTGTGAAAACGTATTTAGAAGTGTGAGACACGTTGTGTAGTTAATTCCTCAATTACAAATATTAACACGTTACTAGCTTGATTTGATAACTGAATTTGACAAAACATTTTGCTGATTGTTTAGGTTTTAGTTGTATTGTGTGCTTGGTCAAAAACCGAATGTTTAGTGGATCCATTTGGATGTTGATGTAAAGCGGTAAAAATAGTAAAATTCCCAAGTGAGTCATTTTTAACATGAGATTAAATTGGATCAAGCGCAACAAAATTTTGTTTGCAGAAACCTCATGAAGTCAAGAGAATACGTAAACCTCGAAAGATTATGACGTTGCATTGTTTTTCATAAGCATGTAGGAGTTTGCCAGAAATGTATCGAATTAATTATCTGACAAATGAAAATTTCTTTTGTAAGAAAATCTGCATCAACTAAAAAAAAAATTGTGTTTTGTAAGTCAAAAGTATGTCTGTTACAAGAATTCAAAACAAAGAGAAGACTGTCAAAATATCTGACGTAAGTCCTTTAAAATATAGTTTAAGTATGCCCGCCTAAGTTTGTCTGTATATGTCATAAGTTTGCCTTCATCCATATTTCATATAACATTTCAGTCTATTTGAGTTTCTTTGATTTAAATAATATCATATATTGGATATAGATTTTTCAAGTACGAAAGTTTTGAAAAGTTTTTTTTTTAAAGTACGAAAGTTTTTACTAAGATTTGTTTCTTTTCTTTTTTGTTTGGTTAGTTGAATTTCCTTATCAATTAATTAGTTGAATAGTACAAGATTTCACTCAAATTTCCTTATCAATTTAAACACAGGGAAAATATACCCTCTAACGTCTAACCTTTTATATATTTTTGTCTCACAAAAATCGCGATATTTTCTAAAAATAATCCCCAAAATAAAATGACTCGTATACTTGACAAATGTGAAACTTCTTTACAATTTATGGATCTTGACATTTCTCATGTTCTTAATAGATATATCGTTTTATAAGTTGCATGATGCACACAAGTAGTAACCCACAGAACCAAAAAAGAGAGAGAAGAGAGAAAAATAACAGAGATGGAAGAAGAGCTGAGAAATTTCATTAAGGTTTGGATCTCTGCCTTAATCTCCATATCCTACTGTTACTACATCTCTTCAAAAATCTCCAAAGGTTTTCTTCGTCTCCTCTCTCTTCTTCCCATTTTCATCATCTTTCTTCTTATTCCCCTCTTCGTCTCTTCTGTCCACTTCTGCGTCATCTCAACTTTTTTCCTCTCATGGCTCGCAAACTTCAAGCTCCTTCTCTTCGCTTTTGATCAAGGACCTTTAACCCCACTTCCTTCAAATCTCTCCCGTTTCTTCTGCTTCGCTTCTTTCCCCATCAAAACCAATCAAAACCCTTCTTCAAATCGAGTCTCCCACAAACCTATGCCTAAATGGGTTCTTGCTTGCAAAATTATGGTTTTTTCCTTCTTACTACGTCTCTACGGTAACAATTATCATAACAGCTTACCTCGGTCCGCTTACTTGTTTATCTTCACCATCCATATCTACCTTGAGTCAGAATTTATCTTAGCCTCTGTCGGTGCCTTGCTCTCTACGCTTCTTAGTTGTGAAATCGAACCGGTCTTCAATGATCCTTACCTAGCTACTTCTTTACAAGACTTCTGGAGTCGTAGATGGAACCTCATGGTCCCATCCATTCTGCGTCAAACCGTTCACATCCCGGTTCAGCGATTTACTGCCCCGTTCATCGGTAAGCAGGCCTTTTATGCTGGAGTGCTGGCCACGTTTACTGTCTCCGGTTTAATGCATGAGCTGATTTACTATTATATCATCCGTAAATCTCCAACTTGGGAAGTCACTTGCTTCTTTATGCTGCATGGAGTTGTGCTTTGTGCGGAGATGGTGGCGAAGAGGATGCGGTTGTGTTCACCGCCGCATCGAGCGGTCTCAAGTCTTGTGGTTTTGGCGTTTGTGATCGTTACGGCCGGTTGGTTGTTTACCCCTCAGGTGATGAGAAACAATGTGGATAAGAGAGTGATAAGTGAATGTTTGTTTGTTGTCGACGTTGTCAAATCGCAAGTTGTACGCATTTTAATGTAACGTTTATAATTTGAAGAAGAAGCGTTTCTTGTTATCCTCATCGTTATTGTCGATAGAACTTTAGGCCATACACTTGGGAAGCAGAGACAGGAAAGATGGAGCAATGAATTTTGTCATGCGTTACAAATTTTGTCTCCGATGTAAAAAAAAAATTTGGTTTTATTCAAACATATGTCAAGAAATAAACTACAAGGGGGTCTAGTAAGTTGATGACTCACCAATGTCACCAGGGGAACCATGGTTTGAGTCATTCTACTATAATTTTAAATTTAAATATAGTTAGACTTGTTAATTAAATGACAAAAATATCTGATTTCCCACATGCTCCAAACGTTAGTATAAAATTTGGTCGAGATAAAGCCTATATATATAGCCTAAATTGGTAAAATTGTAATATGAAAAAAAAAATCATTAAAAGGAAAAGAATTAGCAAAGATGTTATTACACGATGAACAAGTCATAAATTACACTAATATCTCCGAAATTTATGTTAAGAGCTGTAAAATTACACCTTTTTGGATTTTTTCCGTTTCCAAATGATATTTATTTGCTCTTTTTATTGCATAATAAATATCATATACCAACATCACGTTTTTTTTGTTTTTAACTAAAGGCTTTCATATATATACTAACATCACTTTTAAATCAGACCAAATCCTTCTTTTCGTTATCTCCTGGATAGTAGAGATGGCTTCCCATTAGAGTTGCGTAAGAGAGGAAGAGGCAAATGTATGTAGCTGTCAAGTCAATCCCAAATTTTCTATTCAGAAGTCAGAACGTGTATGATCTCATCCGATTTTTTTCTTTTTTTATGTACATTATAACCAAAACTAAGTCAAAGGCTCGTTGATTGGAAAAAAAAAAGAAGAAGATCAAGAAAGATGGAAGAAGAACTCAAGAACTTCATTAAGGTATGGGTTTCTGCAATAATCTCCGTATCCTATGTTTACTACGTAGCAACCAGAATCAGAGCTGGCGTTTTTCGACTATTCTCTGTTCTTCCCGTTTGTGTTCTGTTTCTTGTTACTCCTCTGTTTTTCTCAACTGTTCATTTCTCTGGCTCCATAGCTTTTTTCCTCACGTTTCTCGCAAACTTCAAACTCGTACTCTTCTCCTTCGATCAAGGTCCTCTTTTTCCACTCCCCTCGAATCTCACCCGATTCCTCTGCTTCACTTGCTTCCCTATCAAGCCTCGACAAAACCCTAATTCTCAAAATCAATTGCCCAAATGGGTTTTCGCCATTAAAATTGCAATCTTCGGTGTGTTGTTACATGCGTATGATTACAAACAATATCTATCTCCGATTGTGCTACTGGTTCTCTATTCTCTGCACATATACTTGGAGCTTGAGGTTCTCTTAATGATGGTCAAAGTTTTGGTCTTTATCTCTGTTGGGTGCGACCTAGAGCCACAGTCCAATGAACCATACTTGGCCACCTCTCTTCAAGACTTCTGGGGTCGCCGTTGGAACCTCATGGTCCCGGCGATCCTCCGGCCTGCCGTCTACGTCCCCGTGCGGCGAATCGCCCAACGGAAAATGAGCTCCGATATGGCTTTGTTCTTGGGAGTTCTTGCAACGTTCCTCGTCTCCGGTTTAGTTCACGAGTTATTCTTCTTCTATTTTAACCGTGAGATGCCTACAGGAGAAGTCACTTGTTTCTTTGTGATACATGGAGTTTGCACGGCGGCGGAAGTGGCGGTGAAGAAGATGACGTTTGTGCGGCCGTGGAAAATGAGTCCGATGGTTTCACGGCTGCTTACGGTGGTGTTTGTGGTTGTGACGAGTGGGTGGTTGTTTTTCCCTCCTCTTATAAGGGGTGGCATGATCTCGAGACTCGCTAACGAAGCCTTGCTGACCATTGATTTCTTCAAGCGCAAGTTTTTTACCTTTGGGTGATAAATTGTTGGATCATGATTTATGGATTTATGTATGTTTTGAATCTGGATTATTAAATCTTATTAATGAAATCCTGATAAATTGTTGAATCATAACTTATGGATTTATGTGTGTTTTATATTTGGAATATCAAATGTTATTACTTTTGTAACAGTAACTACTGTAGTTGTAAACAAAAAAAAATAAACAATGTTAGCTGACTAGCTGTGAAATCAACTTTACCCATTATTTATTTTAAAAACACACAACGATCATATGAAGTCAAACCCTATTGTTACTATCTAGATCTAACCGAACGTAATTCATGACATAATGACTATGTTACGTGTATAATTTTGCACAATTGCACAACAAAATAAGTTCAGAGAATATATGAACTTAGAAAGTTATAAAAGGTTTTAAGCAATTAATAATAAAGTAAAAATAAAGTATATTTTGAATTTTATGTTTGAGAAAAAATGAAAACTAACAATATAAGCAAAAAATGAGGATAATGACTCTAGAGAGGAAGATGGAAGTGTTTGCAGATTTTAAATTAATTTTTCTAAATTTTCTATGTAGAACATACATATATTTACAAGAACCCATATTAATGTAGTCAAATGGAAAATGTTTAGTAATTTCAGGACTGAGGGAAATCGATCTATTATCTAGACCAACAGGGCAATTTTTCATCGAGGGAACACCATTAAACCACTATTACTTGATTTTTTAATACTAAACTTTGATTAATTAAAAAGTATTTTTCTATGAAATTTTCTCATATATATGTAAAATTTTGATTTTTGATTTTATTTTATAATTTTACGTAGCAGATTAGATCTTCGATTACAATCTAAATTTTTAGGGGTGGGCACAATTCCCGTTTCATCCTGTCCCGTCCTATTCCGTCCCAGTCTCAATCCCAAATTTCCGTACCATATGGGAATGTGCTTCCGATATGGTACAATATATTGATTCCCATTTGGGAATGGAACGGGACGGGACGGGAACGGGACTTCCTGAAGTCTCATTTATCCCAAATTATATATAAATAATAAATTAAATATTTAAAATATATTACCAAAAATGATCATTATTATATATTAATATATTATTTTATATAAATGAAAGTTAAAACTTAAAAGTTGCACCTCTAAAGTTCTAACTTATAAGTTATAGTCTAAATACATGCTGACTGCTGAGATTTGAACGAATTATGTTGGATTTTATTTTTTATTTTATTATATATGACTAATAGACTATATGTGGTTTTTTGTTTACTATTCAATGGATTATGTTGGTTTTTTTTTAAAAAAAATTGAAGCTTTTAAATTTTAATAATTAAGTTAAGTTTGCTTTCATTTGTTTCTTGATTAATTTATAATCTTTGGTTAATTTATAATCTTATATGACATGTTATTATTATTTATTAGGATTTAGAAAATGAACAATGGATCGACGAATATAAATTGAATTTTAATTTTTTTTTTTACAATTGTCAATTTTTCATGTTATTAGTTTTTTTGGGAATTCCCATCTCATTTTCATCCTATCCCGTCCCATTCTCGTCCCGTCCCAAATTTTGAATGAAACACATATGGAACAATTATTTTGATTCTCATATTCCCGTCCCGTTCTCATTCCCGCAAAATCCCGTCCCATGTTCCCGTTTGCCCACACCTACAAATTTTAACGGATTTACAAATGTCAAATAACTAGTTAGTAGAGGAGCAGATACAGATTAGAGAATTGATAATCCAAACAAAACGTAGCGAATAAGTCTCCCCAGCTTTCTAATTCAGAACTTGTCCGTATGATTCATCCGATTAATTTTCAAATCTTCCCAATTTTCTATTCAGAACGTTTATGATTTATCAGATTTTTTTTATAATGTACATAATAGCCCAAAACTAAGTCAATGCCTTGGGAAAAGAAAAAAGAAAGAGAAGAAGATCAAGAGAGATGGAAGAAGAACTCAAGAACTTCATCAAGGTATGGGTTTCTGCAATAATCTCCATATCCTATTGTTGCTACTTACCAACCAGAATCAAACCTGGTGTTTCTCGACTACTCTCTGTTCTTCCCGTATGTGTTCTGTTTCTTGTTATTCCTCTGTTTCTCTCCTCTGTTCATGGCACTGGCTGCACAGCTTTTTTCCTCGCATTTCTCGCTAATTTCAAACTCATACTCTTCTCCTTCGATGAAGGTCCTCTTTTTCCACTTCCCCCAAATCTCCCCCGATTCATTTGCTTCACTTGCTTCCCCATCAAGCCTCGACAGAACCCTAAATCTCAAAATCAGTTGCCCAAATGGGATTTCGCCATTAAAGTTGCAATCTTCGGTATGTTGTTACATGTGTATGATTACAAACATCATCTATCTCCGATTGTTCTATTGCTTCTCTATTCTCTGCACTCATTCTTGGAGATTGAGATTGTCTTAATGCTGGTCAAAGTTTTGGTCTTTATCACTCTTGGGTGCGATCTAGAGCCGCAGTCCGATGAACCCTACTTGGCCACCTCTCTTCAAGACTTCTGGGGTCGCCGTTGGAACCTCATGGTCCCGGCGATCCTCCGACCTGCCGTCTACTTCCCCGTGCGGCGAATCGCCCAACGGAAAATGAGCTCCGATATGGCTTTGTACTTGGGATTTTTCGCAACCTTCCTCGTCTCCGGCCTAGTTCACGAGTTGTTCTTTTTCTATTTCAACCGTGAGATGCCTACAGGAGAAGTCACTTGTTTCTTCGTCTTACATGGAGTTTGCACGACGGCGGAAGTGGCGGTGAAGAAGATGACGTTTGTGCGGCGGTGGAAGATTAGTCCGATGGTTTCACGACTGCTTACGGTGGGGTTTGTGCTTGTGACAAGTGGTGTGTTGTTTTTCCCTCCTCTTATAAGAAGTGGCATGATCTCGAGACTCTTTGACGAAGCCTTGAGGTCTATTGATTTCTTCAAGCGCAAGTTTTTAACATATGGGTGATAAATTGCTGAAGTCAATGATTTATGGAATTGTGTATGTTTCATATCTTGATTATCATATTTACGTTTGTGGAATTTCAGAATGACTGTAATAAGAGGATTGGTTGTGTGACAGTAACTCTTGCGTTTGATTATTGATTAACAACAAAATGTCAATCTTCTACCTATTAATTGACAAGTAGTTTAATGAAATATGCTGATTTGTTTTAATTTTATTAGTTAAAAACATCAATCTAACCTAATTAAATGTGACATGGAAATGATGATGTGTAATGATGATGTAATTGTGACATGGCATTTGCTAACACATGTGGATTATGATATAGCAAAAAATATTTATGTGTTTAATTTATATTAGTTTGAATAATTATTTTATGAAAACTGAAAAATATAAAACATTTAATTATTAATATAAATTGTAAATCGTCATTTTTTTATCACATGCACAAAACATATGTTATATTTTTTATTACATGCACAGATTTGTACAAGTTAAATTGTATAAAAATTATATCTTCATCACATGCACCGACTATATAATCTAAAGTAACATTAATCTAACAATTAATGTTTAACTAAAGAATTTATTTTTGTTGTCCACACAAAACAGAAGCTAAACAAATATACAAAGAGAAGTTAGAGTATATCACGTTTTGTTAACCGAAGTATGATTATCTACTTTTAACAGTCTTCTTGAGATTGTCTTTGCGCAATATAATCCAAAGCAACATTAATTGTATCATCAAATTGTATAAAAATTATGAGAATTGTCTTCATCACATGCACCGACTATATAATCCAAAGTAACATTAATCTAACAATGTTTAACTAAAGAACCCATTTTTGTTGTCTACACGAAACAGAAGCTAAACAAATATACAAAGAGAAGTTGGAATATATTTAAATTTAAATTATTTTCTGTGTTTAATTTATTTTAGTTCAAATATTTGTTTTATACAAGAAGTCTTAGAGAATTTAGAGGCTAAATAACTGAATAAATTGAAAAAGATTAATTGAAGACGAAATAGATGATGAAATTTGCAGCTATATATATGTCTGACCCGCAAATCCGCAGCAGGTAACCCGCTCAACCAGATATCCACGGGTCTAATCCATTTGGCCCTTTAACATAATAAAATAGGCCTTTTGTTATAATAAAATATTTAGTTAAAATTATACCATATTTTGCTATTAGGGCGTATAATTTAATCGTTCTACCTAATTTTTTATATATTACAAAAAATTAAAATATTCATAACGATTTAGATATTATATTTATGTAATTAACTTTTTAAAACTGTTTATGCCTGCACATGCGTACAGGCCAAACTCCTAGTTTTATAAAACAAAACACGTCTTTTTAGATATTTAAATATGAAAATATAAATTGATACCAGAAATTAAAGAAGATAAAATCTAATTTCTAATTTAAGAGTTTTTATCCTAATTTAAAATGATGTTGTTTTGTGTTTTAAAACTCAAATGTCCAAAACGGGGTTGTTTTAAGAGTACAGTAGAAACTTTATAAATTAATATTCGATAAATTAATAATTTTATTCAGTTTCGAGTTGCACCGGTTTAAAATTTAATATAAATCGATAAATTAATAATATAATAGTTTTTTAAAAAAACTAATGTAAAATATAGTTTCATTAATATCATATTAATAAATATCATATAAACTAATTATATATGTATATTATGACAATCTATCAAAATATGACTGTATTGTTGTGTTTATATTAAAATTGAAATATTTTTATTATTTATTACTAATTTTGTAATGAAAATTTTAGAAAATATTTTAAATATTAAAAAATATTATTTTTAATTAGTTATTAATAAATAATTTATTTTATCCAAAACTGATAAACTAATAACTTTATAAATTAATAAAACATCAAAATTTCAATATTATTAATTTATAGAATTTCATGATATCTAAACAATAAAAAGTTAATAAAAGTTGAGAAATGGTTTTTAACATCTCTCAAATGAGATATGTTTTTTCTTTTTCTATTTTAAGCATGAAACATTTAGTAAGAAATGATGGATGGGGATGTTCTAACAGTAACACCTAATTGCCAACATGTCATATGTATGGATAAAATTCAATGATTGACTAAGAATACTTTGTAGGTCGATGTACGTTTACGGGTTATAGTTACAAGTTTGGGTAGTAAATTTGAATTATTCAGAGGTGGACAAAGATACAGTATCACTGTAGAAGTATATAAAATTTAAACCGGACAAAATTTGTTTACGGATAGTAGAGATGATACCTCCCATGAAAGGGTTTACTAAGAGAAGAAGAATCAAATGTGTGCTGTCAACACAAATCTCCCTAATTTTCTATTCAGAACGTTTATGATTCATCCAAGTAACTGTGAACAATGTGTAGCTGTCAAATCAAGTTATACCCAAATTTAGTATAAAAAAATAAAATAACATATTTACCCATTTTCTGTTCGGAACGTGTTTGATTCATCCGATTGTTTTTAAATACACAACGATCATAGTAAGTCAAACATCTAGAGATCGAAACAAAAAAAAACAGAGATCTAGATCTAGGGAGAGATGGAAGAAGAACTCAAGAGCTTGATCAAAGTTTGGGCTTATGCAATCATCTCCGTAACCTATTGTTACTACTTCCCAACCAGAATCAAAGCCGGTGTTTTTCGATTATTCTCTGTTCTTCCAGTTTGTGCTCTGTTTCTTATTCTTCCTCTGTTTTTCTCCTCTGTTCACTTCTCTGAATCCTCAGCGTTTTTCTTCTCATGGCTCGCTAATTTCAAGCTCATCCTCTTCTCCTTTGATAAAGGTCCTCTTTTCCCACTTCCCCAAAGTCTCTCCCGGTTCATCTGCATCACTTGCTTCCCCATCAAGCCTCAACAAAACCCTAAATCTCAAAAGCAGTTCCCCAAATGGGTTTTCGCCATTAAAGTTGCAATCTTCGGTATTTTGTTACACATCTATGATTACAAACAACACTTGTCACCGACTGTGCTATTGGTTCTCTATTCTCTGTATATATACGTGGAGCTTGAGATTGTCTTAATGCTGGTCAGAGTTTTGGTCTTTATCACTCTTGGGTGCGATCTAGAGCCACAGTCCAATGAACCATACTTAGCCACTTCTCTTCAAGATTTCTGGGGTCGCCGTTGGAACCTGATGGTCCCGGCGATTCTACGGCCGGCCATTTACGACCCGGTGCGGCAAATTGCCCAACGGAAACTGAACTCCGATCAGGCTAGATTTTTGGCGGTTTTGGCCACGTTCTTGGTCTCCGGTGCAGTTCACGAGCTGATCTTATTTTATATGACTCGTGAGATGCCTACAGGAGAGGCCACTTGGTTCTTTGTGTTACATGGAGTTTGCACGGCGGCGGAAGTAGCGGTGAAGAAGATGACGTTTGTACGGCGGTGGAAGATGAGTCCGATGATTTCACGACTTCTCACGGTAGGGTTTGTATTTGTGACGAGTGGTTGGTTGTTTTTCCCTCCTCTTATAAGGAGTGGCATGACCGAGAGACTCCTTAACGAATCCTTGCTGTCCATTGATTTCGTCAAGCGCAAGTTATTTACCTTTGGGTAGTAAATTGTTGAATCATGGATTTTTATGTATGTATCTTTTTAACTTTTGAGTGATAAATTGCTGAATTGTGTATTTATGTGTGTTTAACACTATTGGGTGATAAACTTCAGAATCATAATTTATGGTTTTATGTGTGTTTAATACTTTTGGGTGATAAATTTATGTAATATGATTTATTTTTATTAGGTGATTGGCCATACGCATGTACGGATATAATTTTTTTTATATATATAATTAATTATAATATAATAATATCTAAATTTTTATAATATGTTTTAAACATTATCTATACTATATTTTATTTTATACTTATATAATATAATTTTGTTAATATATATATATATATATATATATATATTTTAACTATTTGTTTTTTATTGACCTATTGCTAATTTAATAAAAATAAATTTTGCCATTTTTACTTATCTTAAAAGTATATAAATAGTTGGTTCGCACATTCGTGCATACCTATCACCTCACCGTTTTTAACACATATAAAGATTTTTTAAAATATGTATAAATAGTTTAATAACTAAAATTAAAATTAGATTGTAATTGATATTAACAAAATACATGTACAAAATAAAAGTAGATAAATATGTTCAAATAAAAAGGAAAAGAACACTATTGACTAACATATACTTGATATCCAAATAAATTGATGTTATTGGTTTATGTATTTAGTTAATTTAAGAATCCATATAATTTTTGTAAAATTTATTGATTCGTAAATCTAACATGTTGATTTTGCACAATCATTAGTTTAACCTATTTGTGTCTATGTATTTTTTACATGGAAATCTTTTCAAATCTCCTAAAATTCTATTTAAAATCAAATCCATAATTTTAAATCATGAATCAATAACACAGAATTTGAATACAGATTTTAAAATTATAGAATCAATAACACTGAATTTGATTAATTTTTCTAAATTCAATAAATCATAGAACCAATAACCCCTATTTAATCTATAGTTAGATTATCTATCAATCATACTTTTTCAGAATTTCTAAAAACAGCTAAAGAGAGGTTTTGTGGTTAGTCATTAACTCTTATTTTTGCAGAATTTCCAAAAACTGTTAAGACCATTTCTAATGTATTCCTTTATTTTTTCCAAAAACTGTTAAGAGATAGATTGGAGATGCGCAATGATCGAAATTACGCAAATGAGAAGGCACATAGGAAGCTTCCTCAGGATAAGAGACAGTAAGTTTAAAAGCTGGTTTGTTTCCCCGAGACCTTCTTTCATTATTTAGTTACGATTCTTCCAACACAAGCAACCAGTAAAATAATCTAAAAGTATTTCCAATAATAGTCTCCCACTTTATATTTAATATTAAACAAAATAAAATAAAAAAGTAAGAAAGAAAACAAGAGACGATTCTTGTTTCAGGTACTTTTAGATATATTTCTGAGATATTTAAGACCAGGTGCAACGGGGTCTCTTGAGAATAGATTCTTAAGATAAAATGTATTTATTTAAATGAAAATTAATTAATAAAAGAAGAGTTGATTCTTAATTAAGGGTTTTAAGAGTCGATTTTTAACAAGCACGTGTCAGTTTGAGAACACAAAAAGATGTTTTTATAAGTTGAAGAGTTTCATCTTTCATGTTCTGTCTTTATAAGTTGAAGAGTTTCATTCTTCTCTTTCGTAATTTCTTATTGGAGTTACTTTTGTTAATGTTGAGTTTTAATTATATCAACAGCCGAGTTTCGAAAGGTCTGTCATCTCGTATAGGTTTATGATAATGAAGTCAACATGATTTGAATATTTGGGGGATTTGGTTATTACTAAAAAAAATAACCAGATTGTATTTGTATTTTTATGCAGGTTGCTCATAATATCTTTGAGAAGGGATTGAGTGGATGTATAATCTTGATGCTCATCTGATCTTGCGAGTATACTATAAGGTAATGACGTATACTATGAAAGCAAATACAATTAGCTTGCTTGTAAGCAATTTTTTAGCTTTGATTCCGTATACTAAAGGTTTGATGATACACATTGATTTTGCTCTGTATATATAACACCAGTAAGTCACGGGCATTAGTACTTGTTGATATTTTATTGTGGTTTTACCATTGGAACAGAAAAAACAACAAAAATTTTTAACATAAATTTTATAATTAAATATTAACTAAAAGCTTAATTATATATTTTTGCATTGCACATGCTCTAAAAGACATATGCCACTATATAAATAGTTTATTTTTTAAAATTTAAATATATTATATAATAAAATATTTGTGAGATACGTCTTCAAGCATATAAAATCATCTCCAACCATAAGTATCTATTGTTGGATTTTTAAACAATTATTTATCAATATAATTGAAAAATAAAAATAATTTTTAAAAACAAAAAAGACTGAACAAATAAAATGCTGACACATCATTTAAAAAGATCAGAATTCGTTTCTAAAACCTCTCATTAAAGAATCTATCTCTTTTTTTTTTCTCTCTCTTTGATTATTTTAATATTTTTAAGTTTTGGAATCCCTATTTTAGATTTTCCATTGGAGATTGTCTAAACATGCTCTAAGTGTTTGCAAGACCCTCGTTTAGGTTTGAAGCATACATTAATTTTCTAACTTACTGTAACTACTTAGCACAAACAATCAAAGATTGTGTTTTTTCGATTACTCTAGTTCAAATCTAAATTTGAAAAGCTAAATCCGACTATAGTTTGACGACAAAAAAAAACAAAATGCAAATCTGAAAATAGTTTTATATTTTGTAAAGAATTATATACTTTTGATTAATTTAGTCTCCCTTTACTGAGAGAGGGAGTTGGTTTTTCCAACAATGTGTCCAATCAGATTGCCCAATTTTTCTATATGATTCATCCGATTATTTTATGTAAATAAAAGTCAAAGACTCGGTGATTGAAAAAGAAAAAAAAAAGGAGATCCAGAGATATGGAGGAAGAACTCAAGAACTTCATGAAGGTTTGGGTTTCAGCAATAATCTCAATATCATATTGTTACTACTTATCAACCAGAATCAAATCTGGTGTTTTTCGATTACTCTCTGTTCTCCCGGTTTGTGCTCTGTTTCTTTTCCTTCCTCTGTTTTTCTCCTCTGTTCACTTCACTGGTTTCACTGCGTTTTCCCTCACATGGCTGGCTAATTTCAAGCTCATCCTCTTCTCTTTCGATAATGGTCCTCTTTACCCATTTCCCCCTAATATCTCTCAGTTCATCTGCTTCGCTTGCTTCCCCATCAAGCGTCAACAAAACCCTAAATCTCAAACCCAATTTCCCAAATGGGTTTTTGCCATTAAAGTTGCCATCTTTGGTATATTGTTACGTACGTACGATTACAAACAATATATTTCTCCCACTGTGCTATTAATTCTCTATTGTTTGCATATATACTTGGAGTTTGAGATTCTCTTAGCTCCCTTGAAAGTTCTGCTCAGTTTCACTCTTGGGTGTGACCTGGAGCCACAGTTCAATGAGCCATACTTATCCATCTCCCTTCAAGACTTCTGGGGTCGCCGTTGGAACCTCATGGTCCCGGCGATCCTCAGGCCGGCCGTCTACGTCCCGGTGCGACGAATCACCGAGCGGAAAATGAACTCCGATAAGGCTCTCTTCTTGGGAGTTTTTGCCACTTTCCTTGTCTCCGGTGCGGTTCACGAGTTGATCTTCTTCTATTTTACCCGTGAAGCACCTACCGGAGAAGTCACTTGGTTCTTTGTGTTACATGGAGCTTGCACTGCCGTGGAAGTAGCGGCGAAGAGGACGAGCTTGTTCCGACGGTGGAAGATTAGTCTGTTGGTTTCACGACTGCTCACAGTGGGGTTTGTGGGTTTGACCGGTGGTTGGTTGTTTTTCCCTCAGCTTACAAGGAGTGGCATGATCGAGAGACTCTCTAACGAAGCCTTTTTGTTCATTGATTTCTTCAAGCGCAAGTTTCATTCTTCTTACTTTTGGATGATTGATCGCTAAATTATGGATTATATGTTATCAATTATATTACTTTTTCTGAATTTCCTAAAGAAAACTAAAGAGAGATTCTGTTACTAAAAACTAACGGGGTTGGTAAAATGTCAAATCGTTGTATCATCATTCCACTCGGTTATCAAATGATTATTAATAGATTAATTAACTGCAAACTAACTATTTGAACACCAACTACATTTTCTAAGCTGTGTTTGTTAAATGGAGGAAGTAGTATTTTTTTGTACTGCTTATCATTTTTAACTAGGGCTTTTTAACTTTTACTGCGTCTCGAAGTGATCAAATCCAATCATTTGTTGGTTCAAGATTTTCTAACAATTACTACTCACACTCAATTCCTCAACAACTACCATGTACTCTATTAAATTTATTTTACATCTCAACCTACTTTATGTAGTCGATGCTGGCATGCTGCCTCCATAAAACATTAACTATACTATTCAAAGACAAAAAAACAAGCACCCAAGTTAAGTCCTCGGTGATTGCCAAAAAAAAAAAAACAACACAAAGAAAGATCTGAGAGATGGAGGAAGAACTCAGGAGTTTGATCAAAGTATGGATTTATGCAATTATCTCAATATTTTATTGTTACCACTTACTACCCAAAATCAAATCTGGTGTTCCTCGATTAATCTCTGTTCTCCCCGTTCTTGCTCTGTTTCTTGTTCTTCCTCTGTTTTTCTCCTCCGTGCATTTATCTTTAATCACAGCGTTTTTCCTCACATGGCTCGCTAATTTCAAGCTCATCCTATTTTGCTTCGACAAAGGTCCTCTAATCCCAATTCCCACAAATCTTTTCCGGTTTTTCTGCTTCACTTGCCTCCCAATCAAAGCCCAACAAAACCCTAAATCTCAAAACCATTTGCCCAAATTAGGATTCGCCATTAAAGTTGCCATATTTGCCGTGTTATTACATTTGATTCGCGACGGAGATAACCTGTCTCCGACTCTGCTTTTAGCTCTCTATTTTGCGCACCTTTACTTAGAGATTGAGATTATTTTAACATTCGTCAAAGTTTTTGTATTCATATTTCTTGGCTGCGACCTCGAGCCACAGTCCAATAAACCATACTTAGCCACATCTCTACAAGATTTCTGGGGTCGCCGGTGGAATCTCATGGTTCCGGCGATCCTCCGGCCAGCCGTTTACTCCCCAATGCGGCGAGTCTCCGAACGCAGAATGAGCTCCGGTTGGGCTCTGTTTCCGGGGATTTTAGCGGCCTTCGTCGTCTCCGGATTGGTTCACGAATTGCTCTTCGTCTATTTAACTCGTGAGACGCCAACATGGGAAGTTACTCTGTTCTTCGTGCTGCAAGGCGTTTGCACTGCGGCGGAATTGGCCGTGAAGAAGAAGACGAAGGTGATGCAGCGGTGGCAGTTGAATCCGGCGGTGTCGCGGCTGCTCACGGTGGGGTTTGTGTTTGTGACCGGTGGTTGGTTGTTTGCACCTCAGCTTGTAAGGAGCGGCGTGCTTGAGAGATACACATATGAAGCTTTGCTGATTGTTGATTTCGTTAAGAAGAAGTTATTTATTTTGTTGGGGATACATATGACGAGTGTTAAATAAGCACAACTTAACCTTTGAGGGTGTTTGAATCTGGAGTTTAATTCGTCTTAATTTTGTTTTTGCTAGATCGGTTTGGTATGGTTTCAGTTCGAATTCAAGTTTTTTTTTTTAATAATAACTCGTTTTAATCACTCGATTAACGGTATTATTCGTTTTAAAATTTTTTTTTGATCAATATTGTTTTATCAGAGGTCAAATAGCAAGTGACTTTTTCTTATAGCTAGACCTGCTATCATAGTAATTAGATTTTACAGATTTTCAACTTAAAAGCAATTGATGATGAATTGATAGAGTCAGATCTCTCATATACTGTAAGTTAAAGATCTATGTCATTTCCCATATATATATAATAAAGCAGTGATGTGATTTATTGACATCAAATAGTATAGCTTTATAGTTTTGATTTGATCTTTCATGTAAACGATAGAGAACAACAGTATCCGAGAAAATGTGAAATGATCGTATCGGACAGGGTGTTGTCCGAGGAATGACCGAGCCAAGGGTCGGATATTGGCTGGGAAATAGAGGTTCGGACTATGGTCAGATGTTGACCGGTGAAATAGTCGGGTGTGGGCTGGATAGCCGAGCCGGATAGACCATATCCGAGGGAAAACAGAGTCCAGTCCGAGGAAAATGGGATTTATCCGAGTGCAGTGGGATATATCCGAGAATCTGGGAGGTTAGTCCGAGTGTCAGTGGACTGTCTCCGAGGGGGAATAGGAAACCTCCGAGAGAAATAGAGGATTAGCCAAGGTGGGACAAGTTATCCGAGAGAAATAGGAATATCCGAATGAAAAATGGAAAACACCTCGGATAAGGGCGGTTTATCCGAGTGGGAAGGGATTTGGGCCGTGGGCCAAGTGTTTGGTCGGCTATTTTGGGGTTTATCGAAGGAATGGTCGAGCCGGTACAGGGAATAGCCGAGAGAATCGAATCAGACCGGGATAAAACTTACTGGAACCAGGAAAACGTCGAATAAGTCCGGGTTACCTAGGGTTATGCGAGTATTTAAGGAATTTTGAGACTTTTCTCGGGAGAGTTGTGTTTATTCGAGAGCAATAAAGCAAAGAAAGAGAATAGTCGAGAGAAAACCCTAAGAAAAACAGTTTATCCCGAAGACATCCGAGAGAGATCAGGTTATCGCCGAGCATATCCGACCATCGCCGAGATAAACTGGTAAGCGATAGGATATTTCCCTAAGTGTTGAGTTTTCATCGGATAACCTCGAGCTAATAGCCTTGTTTTGTGGGGTTTCTGAGGGAAAACAGAGTTTGGTGCAGATCGGATCGTACCGTGAGCCGAGAGATTCTTAGGGAGATCGGATATCTTCGTTTTGGTGCGGTTTTCATCGAGATTTCTTCTGACCAATCTGTTTCCAGCCTTGTCTAAGGTGAGTGCGTGACTGTGGTTGGGTCTAGGACCGTAGGATTGCTAGGGTTGAATGTTTGCATGTTGATTGTGTGATTTTCATGTTATGTGTTTAGAATTGATAAGCAATCTTTATGTTGTGATATATTATGGTGTTTACCGTGGCATATATGATGTTTAGCTAACCTCAGGGTAATCCGGAACATGTACTAGCTTAGGGGATGTGGGATTCTCGCTGAAGTAGACATGGGTTTTGAAAAGGGATTGAATAGGTCTTGAAAAGGGATTGATCTTGGTTGGTTAGGCTAGATGATCATGGCCTTTGATATTGTTATGTCTATTGCGAATTGACTGTGTTGAATGTTGAATCCGAAAGTATGACTGCGTGTTTGGTACTGACCAGGTGTTACGGGATGACCGTACTCACTAAGTATTTATGAAATACTTATGCCTCTCATCTTGAGTGTGCAGATACTAAGCAGTAAAATGGTGAGACCAGGCAGCAGTGATGGATATGGATGGATCGGGACTTGGTTTTATTTGTGTTAAGACTTGTGTTTAGAATCTTATGGCTTTGGTGTTTGATCGTTAGGTTGCTAGATGATCAGTTGTAATCTTTAGCGAATCTTGTGCTTTTATTTATGTTGAATCCCGAATCCTGTTTAAGTGTTTTTGAAAGTTGAATAAATGAAATGAGTTGCTTATATTCCGCTGTGTATTGATAAGAAAGACTTAGAAAAATAAAGGAAAAAGTTCGAAAATATAGCTAAGTATAGAAACGGACTTAGAGAATGTAGTGGGACACAGCCGTGGTACGGTTTACCAAGTTGGGTTACCACAGAAAGTGTGATTTTTTTTTTTAATGTTAAAAAGTGTGATTTTTTTTATTGCTATGTGGATTTCTAATTTATCACATTTTAATAAAACTGAACTCTGAATTCGAAATTCAAAATATTTATATTTTTTAGAAATTATACGCACACATGCATTACTGGTCTTTAGTATATATAACCGCATATATCACGGGGCGACAAAACAATCGTTCACTTACATGTTAGAAAATGAAATTAAAATTTGATCGTATCACAACTACAGTTTTGAAATATTTGGCCTTACTTGTTAACACATTTGCGAACAGATAATCTACTATATATTATTTGAAAAGTAACATTATTGAAAATAGATGACTTATAAACAGTACATCCAAAACTAGTGTTTTTAATTGATTACACGTAAACATGACATGTTAAACTTTCTAAAATAAATGAAATATTTTGATTGGTTGACCTAAAATTACAAAAATTGTAGAATAAAAACATAAATACACTAGATTATATTTATAACACTAAAAATAACAAATTTAAATTAACAGAAAATAATAATTATTATAATTTCAATTTTTTACATATATTCATAATTTCATAAAATATAATTACAATTTTTTTCAATAATATATATATATATATTATAATTTCATATAAAAACAAAAAATTAATACTAAATTATACAATAGAATAGTAAAAATTCTATATATTAGTAATACTTGAAGTATGATATATTTTTATTTTGGAAAGTTATTAATTTACAGAATATAGTAATAACATCTAAACAAGTTTTAATTAAAAAAATTATAATATAATACAATTTTAAATGAAATAAAATGTAAAAATAATAAAAAATAATTAACTTTTACTCAAAAAAAATTTTAAAACGCAATTTAATATAAATTTTCTATTCAAACCAATATTTACTAAATGAATAAAGTATATACTAATTATTATTTTATAATATTAATAGGAACATATATTTTTTTATATCATCTTTTTTTACCATCTCATCTTATCTCTTATCATATTTTAAATAAAAATAAAATTTTATATCATGTTTATATATATACATAAATTTATTTTCATTGTATACCAAAAATTTGAGATCATAAATGATATGAAAAATAACCGAACGAAAGAATAAATTAAAATAAGATGAAACAAATATGAATAAAAATAAAAATAGAAGCATATAAAAATTAATATCTCGCATTTTGTTTTACAAAATCACTTAAAAACTTTTTAACACGTAAGTGTCATATTTTGACTTTATTACAAATACGCGTACAAACATAAATATTAATTTTGTATTAGTTGAAGTCACATGCGAACTTTTTTGTGCATGTATTTTGTTAAGCTTGATTACAATCTAATTTTAATTTTTATCATTATAAAATTTATATTTTTTAAACAATCTTTATCTATTCTAAATGTAGCGAAGTGGTTGGAATGCACGCATATACGTGCCAACTATCTATCCGCTCTTAGGAATAAGTAAAAATTATAAAAATTATTTCAGTTTAATTTGCAATAAATCAAGAAAAATATATACTTGATATATGTTATATATGTATTTGCAAATTCATATTATGTAAGACGCAAAAGAACATATTGTAGATTGTGTAAGGAGAAATAAAGTATATTATAGAAATTTTTCAAAAAATATTATAAGAATTTAATTATTATTTAATATAACTTTTATATTTGTGATTATATATTATTACAAGCATTATAAAAATAAAAAGTTTTACAATACATTGGTTTCAGAAAGAAATTTATGAAATATTAAAACAATAAATAAATATATATATATATATATAAACATATCAATATTTGAAAAAACTAATCAACACTTACATATTATAATTAACTATGTATATTAAAAAAATTATACACGCACATGTGCTAACGAACCATCTAGTAAATCTATTAAATGGCAGTAACTAACGATGTTTTTTTACTTGGGTTTCAAGAATGAATCAATATGACATTCCACGTATCCCATTGGTATTACGTACGAAAGAGAGACATTCGAAAACCAGCCTCAGAAAATAGAACGTAGAAGTAATCTTGGTACGCACATGCCATAACTTTCTATTTTGGGTATCTGGTTCAATTCATTCCAATTACTTATTATACAAGCAACAACCAACATAAAAAGAACGACGTCGTTACAAAAAAAAAAATCGACAAAGACCATATTGGAATAACTTCCATATCTCATCATCACACCTGTGATTGGGGGATCGGATTCATATGGCACATAATCTCGATTGTCGCAGTTTTGGCAAGTAGAAGCGCTCATTTAATTAGAATTATAAAGTTTTCCTCCGTTGTGTTCTAAAGAAATAATACAGAAATCTTCTCAATTCTCTCCCTTTCTCTCTGACATTGTTCAGACCCCCCCAAAAAAAAAAAACCCAAAAAAAAAAAACTAGAATTGAGTAACCAAATGTCTCAAATAGAGACGGACGTCGACGGAGGATGGAGAGGCAAGCCGTCGTTTATGACGTGGACAGCGCGCGACGTCGTCTACGTGACGAGACACCATTGGATACCGTGTTTGTTCGTCGTCGGATTTTTGTTCGTCTTGTGCTTGGAGTCCACGACCCAGATGGTCCCCGCGAGTTCTCCGCCGTTGGATCTAGGGTTTGTGGCCACGCGCTCTTTGCATCGCGTCTTGGCTTCTTCACCGGATCTTAACACCGTTTTGACCGCTCTAAACTCGGTATGTCGTAGGAATTAATTTGAGTGAATATGGTAGATGACCATACTGGATGTGCAATTGAGAAAATGATAACTGTGTGATTTGTTGCCATAAATAGTGCTATTCTAGTCATTCACTCTAATTGAAAATGTGATTATTTTTGCAATGTGTTAATTATTTGATAAATACTCAAATTATTTGATAATTACTCAAATGTTTTAGGAAACAAAATTAAATATTATTGCCTCACGTAATTTTTTGTTTCCTTCTTTTTCATTTAGTCCTAATAATCTAATGAATTCCAACCAAATATGAAATACTGAATGATTTAAGTTTTGATAAGTTCTTACATAGTTTTAGACACATTTAGGAAAACAGCTATGATTTGTAATTAAATTCATTTGACATATCATTTCCAGCCATAAAATTTGGATTTTTGTTCTTTTAACTAAACAAAATTATTTGTCCACCTTTTTGTTTAATAGCTTCTCTGACCACCTTTAAATCAATTAAAATCATTAAGAAAAATAGATCCAATATTAGTAGATTTGAAAGTACACTCTTAAAAAAAATAAGACTAAAAATATCCAATATTAGTAGATTGGAAAGTTATCCCTTGGATTTTAAGAAACATTTACAAATATTATAAATAATAAGAATGGATTTTAAAAAATTGTGAAGTAAAAAAAAAACCAGATGTTTTCTTCTATATTCCGAGTGTTTTTATTAATCCAGCTGGAATATTATATGACAATATAGTATTGTTTTTCTTTCTCCTAAATGGACAAGATATATAGTATTCTTTGTAACAGATCGATCGTTAGTGGATAAAAAATAAAAACGTAATAGAATCCCTTTGTGTCTTTATTTTGGAGTAGTATATGACAATATACCCATAAACCCATTAAAATAAAAGGACAAACGGTGATGAGAGAACAATACGTTACACATGCAATACAAAGAGATTTGTTAATTTTTTCGACATTAATTTTGTTATTTTGATTGATAGATTTACTTGAATTGGTGGGTGGGGACATGCAGGTGTTAGGAGTGATGCAGATAACGTATATTGTTGTATGGGCATGGTTATTGGAAGGACGACCACGGGCCACCATCACGGCTTTATTCACGTTCACTTGTCGCGGCGTTCTCGGCTACTTTACTCAGCTCCCTCTTTCACAGGTTCCGATCTACATATTAATTATAATTATTATAACATTTATTCTTTTGATAGTTTAGTATTGTTCTATTATAACAACTACTGAGAAATGGATATCAGAAATTCGACCGTTGTTGACAAATGTGATTTCCCTTGGACAATGCCGTTCAAAAAGCACTTCTAACTAAATCCCCCAATGTTTTGATATTCTGGACTCTCAAGTGTTAGATACTTTATATGTTTTCATCTTTGAAAATAAAGTTCCATAAACCACAGATTCTCATAATGGGGACACCATTTATTACGTGAGCCAAACCCGTACGCTCTACGGCTATTGTCACTAGATTTGTTTTAAATGTATCATCGATACAATATTAAATTATTTCGATGTCTTGTTTTGGTATAGTACTATATTTAGCTGATTAACTCCTCTATATATTGAGATTCCCTAATCTAATCATGCAAATTGTTTTTGACTCTTGTTTACAGGAGTATGTAGGGTCAGCAATCGATTTCCCGGTAGGAAACATCTCGTTCTTCTTCTTCTTCTCGGGCCACGTCGCCGGCACGACCATCGCATCTTTGGACATGAGGAGAATGCAGAGGCTGAGACTTGCAATGGTTTTTGACATCCTCAATGTATTACAATCGATCAGGCTGCTCGGGACAAGAGGACACTACACGATCGATCTAGTGGTTGGAGTCGGCGCCGCCATTTTCTTTGACTCATTGGCCGGCAAGTACGAAGCCATGATGAAAAAGAGACAGTTATAGGCACTAGTTTGGGCTTTATTGATTTCCAAAGACTAGTAAATTAAAAAAAAAAATCCCTTAAAATGTTTAGTTATTGACTTATTGGTTCGCCAACGTTCAGATTTTAGTTAATATCTGTTAAGATTGGGTTAGTTATTTCCTGCGTTTTCAAAGTTGTTCATACACTGCCTCGAGTGTTGAGAAGCAACCTAAATCGATTTTTATATTACAATTTGTTAGCTTATTTGTGCTAGACGTGTCATATAGTAACATTTCAATAGTAGATTTGCGTTTCATAAATGACGCCACATTCATTTCTCCTACACAATACTGATCACCTGGACCATTGACCAGTTCTGTAGAATAATAAATATCTTTCGATCAACCATTGGAAGACAACAATTTCACACTTAAAACAATCAACCATAGAACGTTTTACTCAAACGGAAACATTGAACCATAAAAAAGGAAAGTAGTTAGATTCTCCAGAGCCATTAACTACTCAACAACTTCCAATTACTTTTTCTTTAAATGTGGAACAAACCACATTGTATGACCATATCCATATATGCTCTCCTATCCCTCAGTGAACATTTCATTATTCCACAGGAAATATCATTTAGTCAGTACGTAACCATGGAGGAAGAGCTCAAGATCTTCATCGTTGTATGGTTTTCTGCAATCATCTCAGTAACTTACTGTTACTATTTAACACCAAAAACCAAAAGCCGTCTTCTTCGATTAGCCTCTGTTTCTCCCGTTTGTGCTTTTTTTGTTGTTATTCCAATGTTTTTCTCCACCGCTCATCTCTCTTTTACGACGGCGTTTTTCCTCTCCGGTCTTGCATTTGCAAAGCTAATCCTCTTGGCGTTAGAAAAAGGTCCTCTTTTTCCAGTCCCTCCTAATCTCATCCACTTCATCTGCGTTGCGTGTTTTCCAATCCAGCTTCAGAAAAACCCTAGCCCTAAAAATCATAATCATTTCCCCAAATGGGTTTTCCCTGTTAAAGTTTTCATCTTTGGTGCGTTGCTACTAAAAGTGTATGATTACAAACAATATCTTCCTCAGAATTTCTTATTGGCTCTTTATTCTCTTCATATATACTTAGAGCTTGAGATCTCCTTAACCCTAATCAAGTCTCTGGTCGCCCTCACTCTTGGGTGTGACCTTGCACCACAATTCAACGAACCATACTTAGCCACCTCTCTGCATGACTTTTGGGGTCACCGTTGGAACCTCATGGTCTCGGAGATTCTCCGGCTTTCAGTTTACCTCCCCATACGAAATTTGCGAGTTAAGAACTCCCAGTGGGATCCATACTTAGGAATATTCGCCACATTCCTCGTCTCCGGTGCGGCTCACGAGATTCTCTACTTCTATTTGATGAGGGAAATGCCTTCATGGGAGGTGAGTTGGTTCTTTGTGTTGCATGGGTTTTGTACGGCGTCTGAAGTGGCCGTGAAGAAGAATACGAAGTTGGTGCAGCGGTGGCCGTTGAGTCCGGCGGTGTCGAGGCTGCTCACGGTGGGGTTTGTATTTCTGACTGGTGTTTGGCTATTTTCGCCTCAGCTTATTAGGAACGGCTTGATGGAGAGATTTACTAATGAGGACTTTATTTTTATTGATTTCTTTAAGCGCAAGTTAGTTATTCTCGTAGGGTTTTTCTACAAGTCTTAAATAAGCTGCAACCTGGGTGGAACCAACAATAATGTAACAATCCTTTTATGCATGCAGTTCATCGTGTTTTAGACGAGAGTGGTCCATAAGAAGTCACGTGTTTTACCTTTCCTTAAGAGGTCGATATAAAGCGCTAGCTTCGTTTATTTTGTGAACTTTGTGGCATAGAATACGATTAGCTTGTTTTGTAAGCAAGAAGAGTTGACAAGAACTTTTGAAACAAAGCTGCGTTGATAAAACCTATATATCTACTTGCAAGACTGAACTGAAGAAGTTGGATAAACAATATCCAAATTTGGTAAACTTAGCCTTTCCCCAACTCAAGAAGGAAACCACCCAAGAGCAAGGCGGCGGCGAGAGAGAACCAGCTTCAGGTTCTTTCGTTGTCCGAATCTTCTTCTGAACCATCGTGTAGCTGTACGGGCGCATGCCCTTTTTCTATTTGTTGATACACTGCCACGAGCGTTGAGAAACCACTTAACTTGATTTTTTATAGTATAGATCTGTTAGTTTTATGTGCTAGACGTGTCATATATAGTAACATTTCAATAATAATTTCCACAAGACAGTACCATTGACCAGTTCTGTAGAATGATAAATATTCTTTGAACAACTAGTGGAAGACAACAATTCCACACTTAAAACAATCAATTACTTGAACGGGAACATTGAACCATAAAAAAGGAAAGTAGTTAGATTCTGGAGAGCCATTAACTACTCAACAACTTCCAATTAATTTTACTTTAAATGTGCAACAAACCACATTCTGTGACCATAAATGCTCTCCCATCCCTGAAAATATCATTTAGCCTGCAGTATCCATAAATGAACATTTTATTATTCCACTGAAAATATCATTTAGCCTGCAGTAACCATGGAGGAAGAGCTCAAGATCTTCATCGTTGTATGGTTTTCTGCAATCATCTCAGTAACTTACTGTTACTACTTAACACCAAAAAACAAAAGCCGTCTTCTTCGGTTAGTCTCTGTTTCTCCCGTTTGTGCTTTGTTTGTTGTTCTTCCCATGTTTTTCTCCACTGCTCATTTCTCTTTCACGACAGCGTTTTTCCTCTCCGGTCTTGCATTTGCAAAGCTAATCCTCTTGGCGTTAGAAAAAGGTCCTCTTTTTCCAGTCCCTCCTAATCTCCTCCAGTTCATCTGCGTTGCGTGTTTTCCAATCAAGCTTCAGAAAAACCCTAGCCCTGAAAATCATAATAATTTGCCCAAATGGGTTTTCCCCGTTAAAGTTTTCATCTTTGGTGCGTTGCTACTAAAAGTGTATGATTACAAACAATATCTTCCTCAGAATTTCTTATTGGCTCTTTATTCTCTTCATATATACTTAGAGCTTGAGATCTCCTTAACCCTAATCAAGTTTCTGGTCGCCCTCACTCTTGGGTGTGACCTTGCACCACAATTCAATGAACCATACTTAGCCACCTCTCTGCATGACTTCTGGGGTCACCGTTGGAACCTCATGATCTCGGAGATTCTCCGGCTTTCAGTTTACCTCCCCATACGGAAATGGCGAGTCAAGAGCTCCGAGTGGGATTCACTCTTAGGGATTTTTGCCACATTCCTCGTCTCCGGTGCGGCTCACGAGTTTCTCTACTTCTATTTGATGAGAGAAAAACCTTCATGGGAGGTGAGTTGGTTCTTTGTGTTACATGGGTTTTGCACGGCGGCTGAAGTGGCGGTGAGGAGGAAAACGAAGTTGGTGCAGCGATGGCCGCTGAACCCGTCGGTGTCGAGGCTGCTCACGGTGGGGTTTGTGTTTCTGACTGGTGTTTGGCTATTTTCGCCTCAGCTTATTAGGAACGGCTTGATGGAGAGATTTACTAATGAGGACTTAATTTTTATTGAATTTTTTAAGCGCAAGTTAGTTATCCTCGTCGGTTTCTTTTACAAGTCTTAAAAAAGCTGCAAGTTGGGTGGAACCAACAATAATGTAACAATCCTATTATGCAGTTCATCGTGTTTTAGACGAGAGTGGTCCATAAGAAGTCATGTGTTGTACCTTTCCTTAAGAGGTCGATATAAAGCGCTAGCTACGTTTATTTTGTGAGATAAATATAGGGTGAATTTAATATATATACATAAATAATTGAATAATTAGATAAGTGGTAATTTTTTTTTAACATTTTGTTTTATTGATCTTCCTTTCAACTAATTTTAATATGGAAAAGATCTGACAGATAAAATACAGAGAGAAACCAAAATGGTAATAAAAATTAATGAAGAGAGATTTTTTTGATCAAACGTAAATGGTAATAAAAAAAATAAAAGTTAATAGAGAGAATTTTTTTTAATCCCAAAATATCATTGTTAGCTTTCTTAATTACATAAAATGCTATTGGTCAAAATAAATTGTTGTCAATTGGTTATACTATAAGTGTTTCCATTTAATGTTAAACCGTCAGCTGACATTACGTACTAATGTACAATTAATAAATTAAACAAATTATTATATCGTCAAAAATAACATGATATACATTATCATATCACTAAAAGCATAAAATTATTATGTTAAACCAATTATTATATCATATAATTATTGTGTTTATCAAATTATTATATTATAAAAATATATATAGAAAAAATTGTGTTAACTAAGATATCATATCATTAAAAGTATAAATTATTGATTATCAACTTTGCTAGCTTAACAAAATTTTAAAAAATTATACTAATGACCACTCAAATAACTTTGTTATCGCTTAAAGTACCTTTATTACCACTGGCCCATTGCTATCGTTATCAGTGTTGTCGTGTCACAGTGTTAGCGTTACTGTAACTACTAACTACCGTCACTGCTGCTGTAACCCTTGACATCACTATCACTATTCACTATCGTCACAATCCGTGGCAGATCTAGCTTGAAGGAGGGTGGGGCATGTGCCCCATACAGATTTAACTTTAAAAAAAGAAATGTTATCAAATATTAACAAAAAATGGTAGTTTAGTTTGTTAATTTTCTTGTTTAACAGCTTGTGCCCTATACAAAATTACATTCTAGATCCGCTACTGGCCACAACCTATTCGCCACTATCACCCAATATAGTCACGACGACACCACCACCAACTTCACCATCCTCTAATATTGTTCTTCTTTCCTCATTCTTCTTTCTTCTTGTCTCTTCTTCTATTCTTCTTTCTGATCGGATGTTAACAAACATGTAATTAGAATGAAATTTGATAGTAAATCACAATAGTGAATAGTACTTGAGGTGGGAGAACTAATTTTCCAATTATCTATGCTATTCATTGATATTACTCATAAATATATAATTGTGTATTATGGCATAAAATAAGAATAGCTTGTTTTGCAAGGAAGAAGGGTTGACAAGAACTTTTTAAACTTGGCTGCGTTAATAAAACCGATATATCTAATTGCAAGACTGTACTGAAGAAGTTAAAGTTCAACAAAAAAAAAAAAATCCAAATTTGGTAAAATTTTAAACTTAGCCTTTCCCCAATTCAAAAAGAAATTACCCAAGAGCAAGGCGGCGTCGATAGAGAGAGAAAGAGAGAAGCAGCTTCAGAAAACATTGAGTAGAAGCAATTTGGTTCTTTCGTTTTCCGAATCTTCTTCTGATCCATGGTGTAGTTGTACGAGCACATGCCCTTTTCAATTTAGTGAATTGTTTAATTAATTCCGGTTACTTATCACCCACGCAAAAACCAAGTTAAAACGGTAAAACCTACCTCGGTGACTACAAAAATTCAGAAACGCAAAAAGAAAAGAGGAGAGAGAGAGAGAGAGAGAGAGAGAGAGAGAGAGAGAGAGAGAGAGAGAGAGAGAGAGAGAGAGAGAGAGAGAGAGAGAGAGAGAGAGAGAGAGAGAGAGGAAGAGATCAAAGGCTTCACAAAAGCTTGGGTTTCAGCAATAATATCGATATCTTACTGTTATTACGTATCACCTGGAATCAAACCTGGTGTTTTCAGATTATTCTCTGTCCTTCCCGTATGTGCTCTATTTCATGTTCTTCCTCTGTTTTTCTCATCTGCGCATTTCGCTTTCATCACATCGACTTTCTTCACATGGAATGCGAGTTTCAAGCTCATTCTCTTTGCCTTTGATAAAGGTCCTCTTTCCTCAAGTACCCTAAACCTCACACAATTCCTCTGCTTCACTTGTCTCCCCATCCATCCCCAACGAAACCGTAAACCTCAAGATCATTTCCCCAAATGGTTTTTCGCCATTAAAGTCGTGATCCTTGGTGTTGTTTTACATGTCTATAACTACACACAAATTCTGCCTCCAATTATATTGTTGGGTCTTTATCCTCTACATCTATACCTGTCACTCGAGATTCTCTTAACGCTCCTCAAAGTTGTGCTGACTATCGCTCTCGGGTCCCACCTCGAACCAATTTTCAACGAACCATACTTAGCCACCTCTCTTCAAGACTTTTGGGGTCGCCGGTGGAATCTCCCGGTCTCAGCTATTTTCCGGTCTAGCGTCTTTATCCCCGTGAGGCAAGTATGCCAACACTTCATGAACACCGAGTGGGCTATAATCACTAGTGTTTTGGCGTCGTTCCTCGTCTCCGGTATGCTTCACGAGCTGATTTTCTTCTATGTAACCCGTGAAGCGCCTACATGGGAGGTTACTTGGTACTTTGTGTTACAGGGAGTTTGCACGGTGGTTGAAGTTTTTGTGAAGAGGAAGACGTTCGTTGGCCGATGGGTGGTGAGACCGGAGGTTTCACGGTTGCTTACGGTGGGGTTTCTGGTTCTGACCGGTGCTTGGTTGTTTTTTCCTCAGTTTAAACGGAGCGGCGTAATGGAGAGAGATTCGCTAGTGAATCCTTGGTGTTCACTCATTTAGTTAAGCGTGAGTTATTTGTTCTCTTAGGGGTAACAAGTAAAGTAACATCCATTAATCACGTCATTTCTATAGAATTTTGAAATTACATATACATCTATATCTACGTTATATATAATTCATTGCTAAAAAATAATAATGCAGGCTTATTTATTATTCTGGTTTTTACGCCAAAATGCATGCTTGTTGTTAAAATAGGCGTTAATAATAGACGTACATTATTACAACTCACAATCTTTTACATTTTAAAATTTTCATCAGTAATGAGTTTTATAATACAAAGCCACAAATAAATGCAATATACTTTGTCGACAAAAAAAAACAAAATGCAATATACTTCAGTTCTCTAAAAAAAAGTATTAGAGACCTATAGTATGAAAATATAATAATTAACTTTAATATACAGTACAATTCTCTAAATTTGTCTGTTTTGAAACCATTTTTCCATTTGTGCATGTAATCTTTGCACATATATACATCTAATTTTATCGGATGTCCTTGAAGAAAGAATATTTTTCATTACAAGTCTTGCTATTTTTTGTTATCAAAATTTTGTTTTTGTTATTTTTCAATGAACATTTCAACTCAACTCTAGTTCTTATAAATGTTCTCAAAGCATTAGATGGTAAGAGATGAAAACAAGAAGCAAACGTCACATAAGAAGCATACATCACCATAAGCAAACTTATAAACATATCTATATATCATAGAGAGAAGCTGCGTTCATATTACACAAACTTAAATTTGCATTACAAGACTTAACTTAACTAGGATCAATGTAGAAGCAAATGCTGGTTCATTCTCCGCATCTTCTTCCGTGATCTACCTGTAAAACCACATGCATGTCTTGATTTCATCCTGATTACCTTTTTAATACGCAACGCCAAAGTTAAAACCTCAGTGATTTAGCATTGTGAAAAAAAGAAAGAAAAAAACTCAAGAGATGGAGGAAGAACTCAAGAACTTCATCAAAGTATGGATTACAGCTATAATCTCAGCATCGTACTGTTATTACTTATCAACCAAAATCAAACCTGGTGTTTTTCGGTTACTCTTTGTTCTTCCGGTATGTGTTGTGTTCCTTGTTCTTCCTCTGTTATTCTCCTCTGTCATTTTCTGTTCATACACATCGTTTTATCTTTCCGTTGCAAGTTTAAAGCTCATACAATTCTCATTCGATCAAGGCCCTCTATTCCCACTTCCCCGTAACCTCTTCCAGTTCATATGCTTCACTTGCTTCCCCATCAAGCTTCAACAAAACCCTAATTCTCTAAAACATTTCCCCAAATGGGTTTTCGCAATAAAAATTGCAATCTTTATTGTGGTATTACATGTGTATTATTACATACACTATCTCCCTTCGTTTCTTCTATTAGGTCTCTATCCTCTCCATGTATACTTAGAGCTTGAGGTTCTCTTAGCCCCACTCAAATCTCTGGCCACCATCACTCTTGGTTGCGACCTCGAGCCACAATTCAACGAACCATACGTAGCCACCTCGCTTCAAGACTTTTGGGGTCGCCGGTGGAATCTCATGGTCACAGCTATCCTCCGGTCAAGCGTCTATTCCCCAGTGAGGCAGATCTGTGAACACTTAGTAAACCCTGAGTGGGCTATCATCATTGGTGTCTTAGCGACGTTCATAGTCTCTGGTGTGGCTCACGAGGCTCTTTTTGTCGGTTTAACCCGTGAGCCGCCTTCAGGAGAGGTGACCTGGTTCTTTGTTTTACATGGAGTTTGCACAGTGGTTGAAGTGTGGGTGAAGAAGAAGACTTTTGTTGGGCGGTGGCCGGTGAGACCGGTTGTGTCGCGTCTTGTCACGGTGGCGTTTGTGTGTATAACCGGTGGCTGGCTGTTCTTTCCTCAGTTAAAACGGAGCAACGTGATGGAGAGACGCGCCAGTGAGGCCTTGCTCTTCATTGATTTCTTCAAGAGCAAGTTTTTGTTTTTATGATGATTATATAATACTCACGGTCAACGGAACCATGTGATTACGTTCTCAAAACGTAGTTCTACATGATTATTAATAATTATCTTATTGCGTGGAATTATGGAATAAATTTTTTTTTAACTACATTGGTATGCGGTTTTAGTGTAAAAAAAGTAAACTAAAATACCATTCTTCTGATATACATGTTAGGTTGTTTTGTACTACCTCAGTGCATTTCATCTCACTGATTTCATTTTGTAACTCTTAATTAGTAATGTTCCATTCATGTTATAGCGACGGATTGTGACCGATGCTACGGAATAACCCTAGCTATCTCAGTTATAGCTAAATTCTTGTAGTGTTTAAAACATGATATATGAGAAACGACCAGATGTTGACATTCATAATAACTAGTTTTAAATAAATGCTTCATCGACAAAAGAGGACAATATAGTACCCTTAGGCCTTAATTAGCCTAACTAACAACAACTAAAATACGTACACACTTCATTAAATTTCAGGCTTGGAATTTTCTTTTTGTCATTTAGAGCAACCCCAATGGTCATACTCTTAATGGGGTCTTATTGATTAATTTATAATATTTAGTATATTTTATGTATATTAGACACTTTGTAAAATTTTATTGTTTTTAAGCTTACAATGGAAACACATTGGTGGGTGTCCTAAAAAAAAATATAAACTTTTTATACTAAATTTAAGTAAAAATTTATGTTAGAAACTTTTAAAACATAATACATAAACACATAAAAATTATATAAATGCAATTTAAAAACTGGAAACTGCTCTGAAGCAAAGCATACCTTTCTTCAGAATGTCTTCTATGTCAAAGAGTCAGAGTTTCTTTCGTTTGAGAATCGAAAGCAGGATTGACAAACACCCACAAGTGGTTCTTCACATTGTGAGCCTTAACGTTAGCGGTTTTGTTCTTCTAGTTCACGATGTTCATAATGTAGTTTGTGATCTGGCTGGTCACATAATCTACATGTGTGCCACCTTTGATTGTGGCAATTGAGTTCACAAAGCTGACCTGGAAGCAGAAGAAAAACAATGTTAAAAGTTTTACTCAATCGTCATGAGATGAGAGAAAAGAAAAATATTCAGGCCAACACATACCTGCTGAAACTGCTCCTCGCTTAGGCTCACACACACATCCCATTCACTGACTTTCTCAGTTATCCTAATCTCACCAACAAAAAAAAAACATCTAAAGATCAGTAACAATTCCAATACACAGTCTACTTATAAGTGATCAACAAAACCGTTCATAGAACAAACAGACTTTCAAAGAGGTTCGTCAGCCCTTGATTTATTGGCTGCAGTTAGATACAAATCAACATAATCACTGAACGATATCATACGGCCAGTAGCAATAACAAAAAAAAATTAGCCAAACAGATTAGGTGTATATCTGAAGAACAGAGACTTACGGAAAGCTCATCTATGGCCTTTTGTAAAGTAGCTGGATTAAATTTTGAAGGCAGTGATGATCCAACCATCCAATGCTTAATTGGGTATATCTGAAAGATACTTGCAAAAATAACACAGAAGATAATAAATGAATTAAAAGTGAAATCTTTAGCCATGAAAATCGGGTTTTGGCTTTAGTGATTTAACTTCATATAGGTGATCTACTAGAGCTTTATGAGATTACAACAGAGGTAAGAATCTATCTATTCTATGTTTAGCTCATTTTTAAAGACCACTTAAAGTCATATATATCAAGCAGAGATATAGATATATAAAAAGCTCAAACGATAGCAAAAGTGTGGTGCTATTACCGTCTTGCTTGCTGAATGCTCCACTGCATCAGATATTGGTTCTGTTTTGGCTTCATAATGAAACACCAGACTGTTGTAAAAGCTTAATGTATCTGAACAATAACCCTAAAACTTGTTGCATATGCTCTGTGTACCAAGGAAGAAACAAAATCAAACAAAATCAGAATATATGTATATATTCCACTCAAGCGAGAAGAAGCAAGTACATGAAACCAAAGTAAAAACAAGAACCAAAGATACCACCTAGAGACATTCTGGCATGAATCTATCTTCGTCTCCTATAAATACTAAAGCTGAATCTATCTTCGTCTCTGATCTCGACGGAAACATAAGAACAGTGGCGGCATTTCAAACCGATTTCCTCATCAAGGACGAAGTCATGATTCTCATTGCTACATGACACAACTCTCTTCTGATACATCAAAGAACATGTAATTTAGTTTCATGTCTCAACAATGCTAAGAAAAAAATAGCAAGCCGGATGTTGAAGATAGCAATCCGGAGCAAATTCCGATTCTATTTCAACAAATCAAAGAACAAAACAAAAACGCCAGTGTCAAATAGCTACTAATCGAGCAGTTTAACGAGGATTTGAGAAGAAAGGGTTCCACGATTTTACAAATTAGGCAACAAAAAAGAGACGGAAAGCAGAATCAAGAGACGAAATGATATAGGCAAATTTAACCCAAATAAATCTCAGCAAAAATCACAGCTTGGTGTCTAGATTTTGAGCATCTGTATTCGCTAGCATGCGAGAGAGGAAGAGAAAGAGGAAGAGGAAGAGAGAGACGATAATTTATTTTATTCTGTTAATTTATTTCTGTCCACTCGTATATAGCCATGTATCCGTTCTTATATCAGAAAAAGATCTTAAATTAGATCTCAGTCTAAAGATTAAGACACTGCTTTTAGTTATTTTATTCAGTTATATTATTTAGAACATTTTTTTAGATACTTTGATGTGTCCATTGGGGTTGGTCTTAAGCCCCAAATTATTTTTAACCGTATTACTGAACCTAAAACCAGATGATGTGACGAAACCATTGAGTTGGAATCTACGAATGACACTCTATATTATTGTGTAATTAAATTGTGTAAGACCCTTTTCAAACAAAAAAAATTGAAATGTGTAAGATTAAGAATGCCACATCAAAACTAGCCTCAGAAGACAAAACGTCGAATCAAAGCTGGTTCGTTGTCCGAATCTTCTTCCGAGCACATGCCCATATTTTCTGTTTGGTCAAAGGTTATATCATTTATTCCGGTAACTTATTATACAAGCAAAAAACCAAATTAAAACCTAGCTCAAAGATTAGAGAAAAAAACAAAAAGGAGAAAGAAGTTTTTGAGAGATGGACAAAGAAGTCAAGACCTTGATCAAAGTATGGGTTTCTGCAATAATTTGCATATCTTACTGTTACTACTTACCGTCAAGAATCAAAGCTGGTGTTCCTAGATTACTCTCTGTTCTTCCTATTTGTGCTACGTTTCTTGTTCTTCCACTGTTTCTCTCCTCTATCCATTTATCTGGCTCCACTGCCCTTTTCTTTTCAGGGGTTGGCAATTTAAAGCTAATCCTCTTCTGCTTCGATCAAGGTCCTCTTTATCCACTTCCCTCAAATCTTTTCAAATTCATCTGCTTCACTTCCTTCCCCGTCAAGCTTCAACAAAACCCTAAACCTCAAAATCAGTTGCCTACATGGTTTTTCGCCGTTAAAGTTGCAATCTTTGGTGTGGTATTACATGCTTATGATTACAAACAAAATCTCCCTCCGATTCTTCAATTGTGTCTCCATCCTCTGCATCTATACTTGGAGCTTGAGGTTCTCTTAACGCTTCTAAAAGTTTTGGTCATCATCACTCTTGGGTGCGACCTAGAGCCACAGTTCAACGAACCGTACTTAGCCACATCTCTTCAAGACTTTTGGGGTCGCCGATGGAACCTCATGGTTTGTGCCATTCTCCGGTCAGCAGTATACAATCCTGTGCGTCGAGTCTGCGAATACTTGATGAGCTCTGATTATGCTATGTTGATTGGTCTATTGGCCACGTTTTTAGTCTCTGGTGTGGCTCACGAGGTGGTCTTCTTCTATATAACCCGTGAGATGCCTACAGGGGAAGTCACATTGTTCTTTGTGTTACATGGAGTTTGCACGGCCACTGAAAAGGCGGTGAAGAGGACGGCGTTTGCGCGGCGGTGGGTGGTGAGTCAGGCGGTGTCACGGTTCCTCACGGTTGGGTTTGTGATTGTGACTGGTGGTTGGCTGTTTTTTCCTCAGTTTGTAAGAAACGGCGTGATGGAGAGACGCGCCAATGAAACTTTGTTGCTCGTCAATTTCGTGAAGACGCAATTTTTTAATTTTCTTTGATCAAGCTTCAAGTTTTTAATACGGACACGTGGAATGAGATGTTGTATAAGTCACATAATTTGTTTAATTTCAAACAGAAGAAGCTGCGTTGATATTACATAACGTGAAATGTGTTTTACAAGGCTGAAACGAATTTGGATCAAAGTCGAATCAAAAGCTAGTTCACTGTCCGAATCTTGCTAATTCAATTTCTCTAGCTGTAAAACCACATGCCTCTAAATTTCTATTTGGTCAACTGTTTCCCACTTACTTATTATACACGCAACAACCACGTTAAAACCAAGATTGGTGACTGAAAGACTCTTTGAAATGCATTAATAAATTTTTAAAAAAATCTTTTGAGAGATGGAGGACGAAGTGAAGACATTCATCAAAATATGAGTTTTACCTATAATCTATGTATTTTACTGTTACTACTTATCAACAAGAATCAAAGCTGGTATTTTTCGATTAATCTCTGTTCTTCCGGCTTGTGCTATGTTCCTTATTCTTCCTTTCTTCTTCTCCTCTCTGCACATCTGTGGCTTCCTATCCTTTTTCCTTTCAGAGACTGCCAATTTAAAGCTCATCCTCTTCTCATTTGACCAAGGTCCTCTTTTCCCAATTTCCCCTAAGCTCTCTCAATTTATATGCTTCACTTGTTTCCCCATCAAGCTTCAACAAAACTGAAAACCCTAAACCATTTCCACAAATTGAATATTGCCAATAAAGTCGCCATTTTTGGTATGTTACTGAATTCCTATGATTACAAACAAAATCTACCTCTGGTCTGGTTATTTACTTTCTATTCTATTCAGATTTACTTAGAGCATGAAATTCTCTTAATTAAGTTATTAACCCTCGTCAAACTTCTTGTCACTCATCAAATTCGACCACAAACTCTTGAGTTTTTACAGTTGGCGCCGTCTGTGGGGACTAAAAGAGTAATCTTTGACTTAGAACGGAGTTTGAAGATGGTTCAAACACCGATCAACACTACCGACATCACAGGAGCCTCCGATCCGACAAGAAACATTCAGATCCAATCATCGACCTAGCCACAGGGCTTCCGGTGGCCCACCAGACCAATCAGGAAGACAACACAACTACCACACAGAACACGGGGGGAACAGACCAGGTCGGTCAGCCGGGTGGCACAGACACGACCAGCCTGCCACTGCCACCTCCCATCGACATGGCCACGATCATCAGGTCGGTTGCAGCACAGTTGCAACAGAGGATGGATGCTCGCTTCGAATCCCTCTGTGCCGAGCAGATCGCCTACAGAGAAAACTTAGATCGGCTTCTCAACTCTAGAGTTCATACCCAAGAGCAGGCCGAACTAATCACCCCTCTTCGCCCTCCGATCCGCAGCACAGATACGACCAGGCTAGTCAACAACCTGTTCGGCACAACACCGACAGACGACCTGCAGAGAGCACAGGTAGAAGGCTCGAATGCTCGTTCATCGCGCAATACCGCAGGTACCGACCCGACGACAACCTCAGAACTCGATCTTCTCCACCAACGCCTTGATGATATCCACAGCAAGATCCACAAAGCGACGACCTCAACGCCCGAGTTGGATAAGATCCTTCAAGAAACACAGCAAACTCCGTGCACGTCGGCTATCACCAATGCTCCTCTTAAGGACATAGGTCGGATGAAGCTACCTCCGAGTTACTCCAGCACGACAGACCCGAAGCGACACCTGACCGCGTTCAACGCAGTCATGGGACGTGCTCGCTTCACCGATGAGGAATGAGAAGCATGCCTCTGTTAATACTTTGTAGAGACGCTCTCCGGAAGCGCCCTCACCTGGTTCTCACAGCTTCCCAAAAACTCCATCGACAGCTTCAAGGAGCTTACAGCTCGGTTCCTGAAGCATTATTCGATTTACATCGACACGGAGTCCACAGCGCTCGATCTATGGGCATGCGTCCAGGGCGACACAGAACCGCTGCACAATTTTATCGATCGATTCCGATCGATCGTCTTCCAGTGCAGTCTGTCGGACGAACTGTGTTTCAACATTCTTATCAAGAATTTGAAAGATGATTCATCATTTTGTGAACGATTAAAGACAGGAAAAACCAAAACCCTCGAGGATGCTTTGCACAAGGCATCCGGGTACATCAGAGTCGAAGAAGATCGGGCAGCCAAGGCCAAGACCAAGTTGGCCGATGAGAAATCTTCATGCGACAAGAAAGGTAGATCGTCGAGTCAGGAACAAAGAGCCCCGTCAGCACTACGACAAGGATGACAAGAATCGCAAGAGCATCAACACAATTGGATGACCGAAAAAGCCATGGAATATGTGGGACCGCTCGAGCGACAGTGATCCCGACAGCAAAAAGCCGTGGTGCAAATACCATAGGGCGCACGGTCATCATACCGATGATTGCCGCACCCTCCCAGCCCTCTTGAGGAAGAGGTGGGATGATGGCGAGATCATCCTTCCAGAACTCCGGAGTTCACGACGATCCGACGAAGAGGACAGGCGACCCGATGACGATCGCGATAGAAGAGATAACACCGATCGCTCTTCTAAACGCGAGGGCAAGGAAGCAAAGCGTGACCGTGAAGACGATCACACACCTCCAAGCTCACCACGTCGACGGATCAACATGATCATGGGAGGTCTCCTCTCGTGCACCGACTCGATAAATTCAATTAAACGACATGAACGGAAGGCAGCCAATCCCCTGAAAGACGCACCACCATTGTTCAAGGACGACCTACCGATCACATTCACAGAGCAGGACGCGCATGACATAGACCGACCTCATAACGATCCACTTGTCATCTCACTACGACTCGGAGAGGACGACGTCTCCAAAGTGTTGATCGACACTGGAAGTTCGGTCGATCTCATCTTCATGAATACTCTATGCAAGATGAGTATCCCCGAGCGGGACATCAAAGTCGCACCATCACCACTCACAGGTTTCGCTGGAGACTCGATTTCGACAATAAGAACTATAACGATGCCTGTCACCATACGCGGGAAGTCAATTACGGTCAAATTCGAAGTTATTGACCGACCTGCGATCTACAATGCCATCCTTGGAACACCATGGCTGAACGCCATGCGAGCCGTCCCTTTTCCTTACCATCGATGCATCAAGATGCCGATCAGGGGCCGTGTCATCACCATCCGTGGCGACCAGACAGTGTTCCGACAATGTTACATCGACAACAAGCGCGGCCGAAAGGCATCAACGTTCGTGATCGGTAGTAATAGCGACTACGACCCACGGATCATTCATCATGATGAGCAGCCGAAGAGCGATCTTATCGCCTAAGTCAACATCGATGCTGCCCACCCGGAACATTGCGTCGGTATCGGCACAGAACTGTTACCTAGCATGCAAGACGAGCTGATCAGTTTCCTCCGAGAGAACGTCGCAACGTTTGCGTGGTCTATGACCGACATGAAGGGTATTAACCCCCGAATAACGAGTCACGAACTGAACGTCGACCCAACCTTCAAGCCGATCAAGCAGAAGCGACTGAAGTTAGGACCTGAGCGAGCACAAGCCGTCCACGATGAAGTAGATAAACTCCTGAAGGCCGGATCAATCGCCAAAATAAAGTATCCGGATTGGCTTGCCAACCCGGTGGTCGTCAAAAAGAAAAACGGCAAGTGGCGGGTCTGCGTGGATTTCACCGACCTTATCAAAGCTTGCCCGAAGGACAGTTTCCCTCTTCCTCGTATCGATCAGCTCGTCGAGGCTACGACAGGCAACGAGCTACTATTCTTTATGGATGCATTCTCAGAATATAATCAGATTCTCATGAATCCGGACGACAGCGAGAAGACCGCATTCATCACAGATCAGGGCACCTACTGCTACAAGGTCATGCCGTTTGGTTTGAAAAACGCTGGAACCACTTACCAGCGCCTGGTCAACAAAATATTCGCCGACCAGCTTTGGAAGACGATGGAGGTATATATAGACGATATGCTCGTCAAATCAGCTAAAGCAGCTGACCATATCATCCATCTGCGAGAATGCTTTCTCATACTGAACCAGTATGGCATGAAACTCAACCCCACAAAATGCACCTTCACAGTCACATCCGGCGAATTTCTAGGATACTTGGTCACTCAGCGTGGCATCGAAACCAATCCTAAGCAGATCTCTGCGATCTTGGAGCTACCCTCGCCAACCAATACTCGCGAAGTTCAGCGCCTAACAGGAAGAATAGCCGCGCTAAACAGATTCATATCCCGATCTACAGACAAGTGTCTTCCCTTCTATCAACTCCTACGAGGCAACAAGCGACTCGAATGGGACGAAAAGTGTGAAGACGCGTTCGTACAGCTAAAAACCTACCTTTCAACACCACCGATCCTGGCCAAACCTGAGTACGGCGACATTCTGCTACTCTACGTTACGGTCTCCAGCGTAGCAATCAGCGGAGTCCTGGTTCGAGAGGACCGTGGGGAGCAGAAGTCGATCTTCTAGTTCAGCAAAACCTTGGATGGTGCTGAAGCTCGCTACCCGACCTTAGAAAAACTCGCTCTTGCTGTGGTCGTCGCTTCAAGGAAACTACGACCTTATTTTCAATCTCATTCCATTGTCGTCATGACCAGCCAACCTCTTCGTTCGATCCTGCACAGCCCGACGCAGTCCGGCCGCATGGCAAAGTGGACAATCGAGCTTTCCGAGTTAGATATCGAGTATCGAACGCGGACTTCCGTGAAATCACAAGTTTTGGCGGATTTTTTGATCGAACTATCACCGGAGCTCTTAAGCGCCGACCCGGAAAATTCAGAAATATGGACGATACACGTTGGCCGAGCATCGTCACGCTTCGGAGCTGGAATCGGCATTCTGTTGGAATCTCCCACCAGAAAACTTCTCGAGCAGTGCTTCTGTCTGGAGTTTAATGCATCCAACAACGAAGCCGAATACGAAGCGCTGATCGGCGGTCTCCGACTAGCCCGGGGGATGAACATCTAACACATCTGGGCATTTAGCGATTCGCAGCTCGTCGCTAAGCAGTTCAGCGGA